AATCATGTTCAAGCTGTGTTGACTGTGAGCTGGGCCTCACTGTCCTTCTTGTTCAATGGGAACAGTGACAAATGCCTTGTCTTCTGCATCATTAGAATGTGAGGTTTAAGAATAACTGAGCAAATAAAAGCCCCTGTACCCCAAGGAGGGCATGATGGCTTTGGCTTCCTCTTGTGGAGACCAGGGAGCACCAGCAGAGCACAACAATGCAGACACTAGGACAGACCCCACCCTAGCCAGCCTGGCTGTGTGGGCTTGGGGAAGTCTCTTCCCTTCTTTGATTTTTAAACTCATTTGCTCTGCAGGCAAGACATCCTAAGGTGGAGGTGGGAGATGCTGCACAAGATAAACCCTCTGTGGCAGAGGAGAGGAGACCATCTTTGGCAGTGGCTCACTCTGGAGCACTGGGGTAGCAGCGGTCCCCAGACCTTTCCCCAGCTCCCAGCCCGCTCCAGGCAGGATGGGAGATTGAGATGCTGCACACATCCCACTCCAGAAACAGAATCACTTCTACTCGAGTGCCTTTCAGAGGCTGGAAGCAAGGTCACAACTCCCTGAGCTCAGGAATCATCTAGCCCAGTGTGGGCACAGGGACTTAAGCAGGGGAGAGGCAGTGTGGGAAGGCTGCACCTTCTGCCATCTATAGGGCCTCTGAGAATGACAAGGTATATATATGCTTCTGGCCTTGACCTGAGGACAGCTCCAGACCCTGGTGTGGACAGAGAACAGATACCACATTGTTTCTCTCAATGAGCCACAGAATTCACTTCTACCTACCCAACCTTAGCCCGTGGCTTCAGAATGAAATAGCCAGACAGCCAAGGACTCTGGGGGCCGCCAAACCTCACTGAGGTGTGCACACAGAGGCCTCATGGTGGGTAGGACCCATCATGAATGGACATCTATATATAAATGTCCAGAAAGGCACAACAGGCTGCCCACTGACTGCCATTAAACAATGGAGGAGACATTTCTTTTTCTCTATTTAACTGCAAAAAACATTTAGGTATTATTTCCATGCAAAAAGAGGGTGAGAAAGCTAAGAAAATGTACCTGTTGCCAAATAGCCCATGTGGAGCTCCTTGACACTGCATTTAAATCTCTGATTTCCCAAGCGCCTTGTGTCTTACTCTGACCCTATTAAGAGCTACTGCTACCCTATGAGTCCCTACAGAGGCTCAGGCTGACCCATGTTTGCTATCAACTCTGCTACTTGCCAACTCCAAGGTAGGCCCTAAGCCAATAAATTAACAAGGCTTTTAAAAGACCTTTCCCAATGACACAGAAGGAAAGCACAGAAAAGGGAGTCCTTGAGCTAAAGAAATCCTTTACCGAAGAGCTGTGCTCAAGACCTATCCCCAAGGAGCCCTGAGAGACCAAGACATTCTGAGCAGGCACCAAAGCCCTGGCTTCATTATGCTAAAAATCAGTCAAAGGTACCTCGATGTGACTCCAATCTGCTTCGTGTGGGAAGAAGCCCATTTGGGTAATCTAACAAATCCTCATACACTAAACTTTGGGGTTGGGGTGGGGAATAGGTGCTCTCCACTAAAGCCTAAACAAAGTGCTAGGGACACAGGGCTAGGGCTGCCTTCAGGTTCCATGGGATGGGGGTCTCAGCATGAGCGCCAAGACAGGACATGGCTGGGGTAAGAAGGCTATTTAGGAGACAAGGAAGTTGGAGGTGGACTTTTGAGGTGCAGGAGAGGTGGGTGGGGTAGCCACGCAGAGAAGAGCCAGGTATCCCTAAGAGCTGTCTGGAGGTGAGCCAAGGCAGACAAACGGCATTCAACCAAACACTCCATGCACAGAACACCACACAGCCTGCTACCTGCTTGCCCAGTGCACCAGAAAGACTGGGCTGAGCATCTGAAATGGAGAAGGCGGCAGCTAGCAAGATTCCATCTGCTTATCTTCAATGACAGAGCCAGGCACTTCCTTTTCCATGACTAGGGAGCACAAAGTCCTGGCACAACTGCATCCCAAAATTACTGCTGAGAATGTCTGCTCAACACACGCCGGTTTGGGGACAAAGTGGACAGCCATACTTCATTATCCCACCCAAGTTCCCTGCTAACCCATAACATTTCCAGTTGGCTCCAGCCGGGGAGTTGCTGTCACCCTCAATTCTTGACCTTCTTAGAGACCCACCTGCCTGCTAGTGAGTACTTAACATGCTCCAAAGACATACCTGGCTCGCTGTTACCTACAGTAAAGCCTTCCCTGGTCCTCCAGGAATCTCTTTAGGCCCCTTACCCCAATGCAGTGCTTAGCACCTAGTTGTGCAACAAGCTGCTGGCTATCTCCAGGTGCCCTGTGAATTCCCTGAGGGCACAGGCTACATCTTACTTATCTCCAATCTTTCTCATGCAGCCCAGCATCTGGCTTGTGGAGAATTTGACAAACATGTATTATATTAATGAGTGGCCATCAATCATGGCTCTTCTGCCAAGGCCAAGGGAGCAAGGGAGAAGCACCTGCTCCTCTTCTCTCCCCTGTCCCCGCTGCCCTGCAGACATGGCACATGGGGAGGGTACTGCGGTAACAAGGTGGTCAGAAATGTACTGGAGGCCTGGGCAGACCCTGGCACTCACCTGCTGGAGTTGAGTCTCTGGGATCCACAATCAGGTGTTGGCTTATTTACATTGGCCCCCCAAATACTTTTTTTGCTCAACCCTTTTAAAACTTCAGAGCCGGTAACTTCTTCTCCTCTTTAGAAGAGAAATCAGGCCCCAGCAACATCCACAAACAGCCAAAACATTTGACCGGGCAGTTCCAGGGGTCAGAAATTAGCTCATGGGAAGAAAAGGACAGGCTGCAGATTTTTGTGCATGAATGTTCATGGCAGCATCATTGGTAATGAAAGAAAAACTGCAGATAATGGCATATCCAGATGATTAAATGTCACTTGCCATCAACAAGCATGTTCTAGAGTACTTAGTAACACACGGAAATGGTCACAACGTGTTAAATGTATAAACAAAACAGCCAGGGGCTCAATGCTATAAAAAAGGAGAACACAAAACCATACATATTTTTACACATATAGGAAAAGGAGGAAAGAAAACACCAAAATATCAATGGTCCCTTTCTCCAGGCAGCAGGGTTAGATGATTTTATATTTTAAGAGTTTTCTGCATATGTCACGTATGCTACTATAAACACTTAGTAGGAGAAAAACAAATGCTGTTAAGAAAACTCTCTCTTACACTGCACGAGGACAAAGGTGGGCACAAGGAAACTGCTGGACTGTGCACCGACCAGGTTCCATCAGTTCTTCTTTGAAGATTCAGCAACTGTGTCTTCGGCAGATGTAAACGACACAATCGAAGTGGGACAGGGGTCCCAGCATGAAGACAGGATATCTTCCTGGGAGATGTCTCGCCTCTCCAAGGACACTCTGAGGCAGCTGCTGGGTGAAGCCCCTGTTACTATTTATTGCCTGTTCCCACCAAGACAGACCAAAATGTTCACACTGTCCTCTGTCCTCGCTGTCCTCATTTGCAGGAAATATCACAAAGATAATTCCAGGTTGCTCTAGAGCCCATGGGTACACATCCCAGACTAGAGATCCTACTGACCTCCCTCAGAGAGCAGCTTCTTCTGCAGGTCACCAGTTCTCTACCCTACGTAAGAGCAAAACTGGTGGCTGGGAGCTGACACACACCACAGAGCTGGGCTAGCCACAGGATCTTAGAACAAGAGCCTCCACCTCAGCCCATTTTCCTCCCCTAGCCTTCCTCTACTACCCCAACGTCTGTCAGTGTTCCTTTCCAAGTGGAGCTCACAGGCAGCAAGTCCCATACCCTGGTCCCTCTGCCTCTAGTCCTATAGAAAGCTTGCACTCATCTCACCACAGACAGCCTCTGGCCTTCCCAGCAGGCAGGTGAGGCAGTATTTATAGACTAGGAATAATCAGATGCTAATTCCTTTCTGTAGAAGAGCAATTAGCATCTCAATCCCCTCCTTCCAGAACTGCAGTGGGGCAGGCTGCAGAGAAGAGCACACAACCCCTGTGCAAGCTGGCCTGGTCCCACCGCAAAGTGATTCTGATAAAGGTCTCAGAAAACACAAGTCATCGGTACATAGCTCCTTTCTCAGTTCTACCAGAAACCAGTGACCACTCCCTTCTCAAATACCACACCCTTACTTTCAAGTAAGCAAATCTCTTTCAGCCAGGTCCACATCAGACTCTACTCTGTCACCATGACATCTTTGCTATTCTGGAAAGGACAAGTACCCTTTCCACACATGAATGGCAGGGCAATGCCTGGCTCTCACACACCAGGGAGCCTGAGTCCCACCCACTCCCAGCCTTTCACCTCCCCTACTTAATCTCATTCTCCGGGCAAACTAACTAGGGACCTCAGCCTCCATACCTCAAGAAAGACTTCAGTCTTGAGCTGGGCATGGTAGCACACACCTGTAATCCCAGCATTCAGGAGGCTGAGGCAGAAGGATCTTTCTAAGTTTGAGAGCACCTGGGCTACAAAGTGAGCCCAAGGCCAGCCTGAACTGTACAGTGAGACGCTATCTCAGAGACAAAAAAAAAGGGGGGAGGGAGGAACTTCAGTCCCCTGAGCAACTGTTTCTGATGGGACATCTTGGGAAGCCACAGGATGGTAGCCACATCTTGGGAAGCCACAGGATAAGCCCATGCTTATGATGCAGAGAAGCAGGACTGGGGGACAACTTTAGGTCTCTGCAGTCAGGCAGGCAGGCCGGGCAGATGTATGCCACCACAAAGCCATTGTTGCTGGATCCAGTTCCTCTATGTCCTCTGAATACTAACAACAGGAACCCTGTCTCCTCACATTACTTAAAAGAGATACCACCCAGAAGAAGACAAGACACACTGGACCCCTCACCAGTTAGCCCACTCCTGTGATGTGCTCTCCTAGGCACAAACGTGGACTTGAGCGCCCTCAGCCCTCACTGTCCCAGGATGGTCCCTCACCTGCCTTATGAAGCTGTGAGCAAAAAGAAGCTCCCTAATCAGGTTTATATAACAAGGTAAGCATTTTATTTCTCTTTAAGCTTCATTTCTTAGTATCACAATGGAATGATGAGAAAACAAGAACAAAAACACGAGTCTTTGCAAATCCCTGGCAGAGCAGAGACTTCAAGGCAATCGGAGGGAAGGGGAGGCTCGGCAGAAACAGTTCCAACATCATGTTTCTCCTGGCCAGCTGGACCCTGGAGGGTAGGGAGGTGGAATGGTGAGAAGGTGGCACTGTCGTAAACTGTCCTTGGTGCTTCTGCCCCGTGGCTGATATGCACAGATCGCCTCAAAGGATTTCCTGGTGCCTCCCTAGGCACTTGGACACATGGCTCCACCTGCTCCGAATGCCCTGGGCACTCCAACCAGTGTGGTGATGGACCCTGAAGCCAGCTCTGCTGGGTGGTGGCAGGAGCGGGCAGTGGAGGAGGGGCAGAGGCCAGCCTCGCTGTTCAGGGCTGAGACTCCAAGGATTGGCTGAAACTTGCCTGGTGACACCTGCGGTGGGAGGTGGAGGCGGTGCGGCAACTGCAGCAGTCTGTGTCCCTTGGCATTGGGTCTAGAGCTTCACAGTGCCGGGGGGCAGGCTGTCATTGCAGAGTCGGTAGTAGCGCAGGTCGTTGACCAGCCTGTGCACATTCTGGGTGAACGAGGGCAGGTCCTAGAAGGCAGGGGCACAGCTGAAGCCCTGCCTGCAGGGCCCTGCCCTTCTACACCCCAGGTCACCCACCACTACTTCAATATCCAACCCCCATGGTATGATCTGCAGTGGAGCCCTGACAGGGAAAAAAGTAATGGCAAATCTCCTCTAGGGCCAATATGCCTGGCAGTGTAGCAGGCAATCAGCAAACATCTACCCAATGAGTCCTCGCCACTGCTCCAGCACCGACAGAAGGAAGACCCTGCCTCAGGCAGCACAGCACACGGAGGAAAGACTGAGGCTATTCAGCCCTCTCCCTCACCATGGCCAACTGGAGTGCCATCACTCACACCCAACACACTCCCTCCTACACAGGCTCCACGCTGCCTCAACCAGCCAGGAGTGCCCGTGCTAAAGCACCCAGGCTGTGAGGTAAGGGAGCCCTCACAGTTAGAATCCTGAATGCTCTCATGTCCCACTATGAGACTTTTGTCTTTAGTGTGAAACTATGGGAAGCCTGCTGTGTAAGTCCATATGAGGAATACAATTGTCACAGAATGAGCTGGCTGCCTGTGTTGGCTAGTGGTGCCAAGGTGACTCCCTCCTTCAAACTTGGGAAACAAGACTAGACTCAGGAAGCAGCTGAAGGCACTTCTACCTCTCTTGCATTCTACCTTTACCTCTTGCCCTGATCATAGCTACTCCTCTTCTACAACTCAGCTCAAAGCCTGTCTCTTGTAAAGAAGCTCCTTGTAGACCCTGTTGTCCTGGCTCCAGCTGGCTAGGTTGGGCCTCTGCTGGCCTCTATGTGCCCTGAGCTCTGCTTACAGACAGAACACCAACAACCTGTGGACTTTGGGAGCCCAGGTTACCTATGATGTGGAGTTAGCAGCAATGCCTACACTTCAGAGGGCTGCTGAAGGCTTAGCCAGGACAGGATGTGGAAAATGCTTTGCATGGTAAGGCCCACAGGTGTCTGCAGAACACTGCTAAAGGGAGGATCTGGGACTCCAAATGGCTCCTAACAGAGCCAGTTCCAAACACAGAGAGACTCAAATGAACTTCTGGAAAATGAGACTTCTTTATCTTATGCTCAAGGAAACCAACCAAGGCATGTCCTTTAAATCAGTGGCTCTCAAACACCAAATCAGAATTTCTCAGTGGAATACAAGTCTGTTCCTCTGACTTTAGTAGTAGATTTGGAAGCCATGCTTTAAATCAAGACATTAACCAATGGTGATATCATTAAAAACTGATCCTTAAATATTAGGATATAGGCTCTAAGATAAGGAAGAAAAAATAGCAAAGTACCTGAAGTGAGCTTCAAACTTAAAGAGAATACGAGATCTCAAGCAACAGAAGATTCCAAGACAAAGGAAAGGTTCTTAAAAAAAAAAAACTTTCCTGAAGCAGATTTTAAGTTAGAGAAGCAGGAAGTCACGTCCGCCCCAGCAAGACCAAAATGAAACCCAGTCTGACAGGGGCCCATGAGTGGGCTGCTGAGTAGAGAAGTCAGGAGCATCAGGAAAACACACGAAAGCCTAATGATCTCTCCTCTTAGCGTCACTGGGTATGTGTGAAGGAACCAAGAAAGAACATACCTTGTTCTATGGAAAAGTTTTAAGGCAAGCCTACTGGGCAAAGAGCAGAGATTCAGACACCTGATACAGAAAGGGAACACAGGAGGGTTCCCAGGATAAAGGCCCAAGACAGAACAAGCTGGGCACTGAGTTCACACACCCAGCAGTGATGGCATCATGTGCATTCAGAGCCATCAGCACCCTAGCGCACCTGCCTAAGGCAGCACAGAATAGCATGTGGGCACCTCAAAGACTTTCCTATAGAACCTGCAGGAGGGCAGCACAACCTGGGCTGGAGCTGCTCTGGAAAGATGGGCAACTCGGGCCCAGCATTAACGAGAGTGGGGGAGGCAGAGACGAAGCTCCTAAGTACTTATCTTCTCAGCCAATCTGCAAGTTTGGGCAAATCAGTGACAAGTTTGACTTTTAGTGCTACTCTACAGAGGTTCGTCATCCATGATGAAACCTCTGGACCTAGGTAAGAGGTGCTCTGTGGGGTGGAGTAATTAAGTACCAAGAAAATTAGGCAAATTTCCCATCCTTCAAGACAAAGGAGATGGACTACTGAAGCCAGGGACGGGGGACTGCAGTGCCTGAGACTAAACACTTGCAAGCTACAGAAGCCAAGGACAGGGAAAGGAACAAAAGATTCTAAGACAATGTTTCCTCAACCCAGCCCAACACCAGGCCATCCAAGTACCACACGAGCTACCACCATATTACCATGGTGGAAACAGACCATGCCCACAGCCTTGGTGTGCCCTGGGGCAACCTGCCCCTCAAGAGAAAGGCCCAGGATCCAAGCCTGCCACGCTTGCCATTTTAGCCTGGCCTTGCTCTCCTCACCCGATCCATCTTGAAATTCCGTCCCAGCACATTTTTCTGGTTGGCATCCACACCATTACAGCTGGTCAAGAACTCTGGGAGGAAGGCTGCAAAGAAGCCATCGAAGTCGACAGAAGCCATGTTGTAAATGGCGATGCCAATCTCCTCTTGCAGGAGGTCGTGGGACTTGTGAACCAGGACCTGGAGCAGCACATTCACAAACTGGAAGAGCATGGTGGTCCGGAAGATCTTCTGTAGGCAGAGGTGCAGGGAGTGCAGGGCATGAGGCTGACTCAGCCCCTGGGGCTGTCCCTGGTCCCAGGGTTCTACATGTAGGTGACTTTCCAAGAAATGGGCGCTTACCTTATGGTACAGCTTCTGTTTGGTGTTGAGAGTCTCTAAGTAGAATAGATTTTGTTTGAAAAGGTGGATGTCCGGCTGGAGAAAGGACTGTCCAAAAGCCTGGGAATGAGATCACCATTTTATTAGCAACCTTGGAGCTCCCCCAGGCCCAGTTCTTCAGAAGTCCTCACCCTATACCTGCAGAACTGACACACCCTGAGCAGCTTTTCCCCCTTACAGTCTATGTGAGGGCATACCATCTTGATTCTCCTGACCTGTCCAGTCTGGCATCTGTAACACAGAGTCTGAGCACCTAAGTCTCCCTACTGAGCCCTCCACAGCCTCATCTTGCACCTTCTGTAAGACAACCACCAGAAACCTTTCATTGGGCCTTTCAAACAAGAAGACCACAACTCTAGTCAAACCCCTCAGTAACCTTAGCAGAGACTGAAGTCTCCTTGCTTCCCCTAAGGGACCAACCCCTGCAGAGGCACAGAACCTCAGAGGTTCCTTCTCAACCTCTACACCTTGAGGTTAAGCAACAAAATTGTCAACTGCCTTGGAATCCCTGGATGTGAAAGTCACTAGTTCAAGAGCAAAATGAATCCCACTCCATAAACACCAACTATCCTGCTCCAACAGAAAGTAACCACAGGAAAAGGACGACAGTGGTCTGAAAAACCTCCATGGGGTAAGTAGCAACCAACCACTCTGACATTGGGCTGCTGTGCTATGAGAAGCATTGTAATCCCTGCAACAGTGATGAAATCTTCATGATTAACAAGATTTCTATTTATTTATTCTTTAAAGTTACACTTATTGATGCAAAACATGTGGTCAAACTTGATGTTTACCAATGTGTGATTCTGACCAACACAATCAGTTGTGCCATCATCACAATCAAGACATCTAACATTTCCGTTACCCAATAGGTCCCCTTAGTCTCCTTTGTGGCAATCTTCTCTCCCTTACCCTTCAGCCACCACTGCTCATTCTCTATCTTTACAGCTCCACTTTCTCTAGAGTGTCAAAGAATGGAATTGAATCTACCAGACTGGATAGCTTTCTAGATATAGCTGGCTATACCTACCATACTGTACTGAAAATTCACCTATAGTTTTTGTAGCAGTAATAAGCTTCCTCTTATTCCTTAGTAGCATCCAGTATATGTGTGTACTCCTTGGTTTATACTGATGGGTACATGGATTGTCTCCAGATTTAAGCAATTATGAAAAAAGCCATTACAAACATCTGTGTACAGGTTGTGTGAGCAGATGTTTTATTTACCTTGAGTAAAATACTTAGAAATGGAACTGTTAGGTCATATGCTAACTATATATTTAATATTATAAGAAATTGCCATCCTATGGTGACACATGCCTATAATCCCAGCTACTTGGCAGGCTAGGGCAGGAAGATCAGAAGCTCACAACTTACTAAGACTGTCTCTGAATGAAAAATAAGAAAGGCTGGGGATTACAGCTCAGTGATCTCTGGCCATTTAAGCCCCAGTACTTTAGGATTGGGGTGAGGATACCGAATTGTATAACCACTCTCCAAAGTCCTGAGTGGGAGAGTAAATCTTATTCTGCCTAATAATTCTTTTTTCTTTTTCTTTTTTTCTGCCTAATCATTCTTTTTTTTTTTTTTCCTAAATAGAACTCCATTATAAGCCTAATCATTCTTAAAAGCAGGAACAGAGTTCATGCAAGAGGGAGGAAGGGAGCAGACACTAGACCATTCCAAACACGAGCCCTCAATGATGTGTAGAAGACAGAAGGACCACGGCAGGGCATGTGATTTTCCAGAAAGGTAGTTCTACACAAGAATATGTTTGTTCAAGTGCATGTTGTGTGTTGGTTGGGAAGCTGAAGGGATGGAGGACGGAAATCCCTCTCGGCTCCTCACAAAGAAAAGCATGCACTAAAAACAGAGCTGGTTGCAGTGGTGCAGAGGCCTACCCAGGGAACTTAGTGAGACCCTGTCTGAAATGAATACTGATTCATAAGGCAGCATTTCTCTCAACATTGTATGAGTCAGAATTGTCCTTTAAAATACTGCTAGGAGCCAGGTATGGTGGCATGCACCTATATCTCAGCACTCTGGGAGGCTGAGCCAAGAGGACCACCAGTTCAAGCCCAGACTAGAAAACTTAGTGAGATCCCGTCTCAAATAGAAAAATAAGCACTGGATTCAATCTCTAGTACAGTGATTGAAAAAAGAAGACTGGTGGGCCCTTCCCTGAGAGATACCTCTTAAGCTGTCTTTAGGTAAGGAGAGCTCAAGGTAGGTGGGATTTAGGTAGACTCCCTTGAGGAAAGGCAACTGATACTAGTGGTATGCAGTTCATATATGTTACTTCATGTATCTCATAATGAACTCATGAAATAGGAGGTGTTAGCCCCACTTTACAAATGAAGACACTGAGGCCCCAAGAAACTAACTTCATAGGTACTAAAAGGTGACTTGAGCTTCAGACCCAAAACTCTGAACTCCTGGGCCACAAAGCAGCCTTGCCAGCTCTCCCACCTCACCTGCATGATGGCACTGAACTGGGGCTCATTCTCCATCTGCTCCTCGGCAATTCCCCTCTGTACACTGGCCAGGACAGTGGACTTGAAGAAGTAGCGCCAGTTGTGGTGGAGCATCCGGAAAAGGAGCTCAAATAACTCAGTCTTCACATCAGGGGAAGGACGCTTTGGGAATACACACAAACAGATACAGATTTACACATTGCCTTCGTGCTGCCTGCGGAGCCACTTGTGGCCAGGGCTCAGGGCAGCACAGAAGACTTAAGAGATGCCTGAGAACAGAATGCAGGTGTCAGCATCCACCCACACTCCTGTCACTTTCTGTGCAGAAAGCACTGAACACTTAGAGTTGCAGTTCACTTCAGAGACAGGGCCTACACCTGAGACACAACAGATGGACCACTCCCAAGGACCCTTTCTGGGACAGAAGTACTTGGCTTTGTATGCTAGGAAAAAGGGCCACTGAGTGGCAAAATAAAAAGAATGTGAATTTTCTGTTGAGAAAGTCGCCATCTGCTATGTCGTATCTTCCTAGTTGTGTTCCCTTTCCCAGGATAAAAATGCTGTCCAGCTCACCTGTTAAGTCTTTTACAATCTCTAAGTCTTAAAGATAGTGAGAGACCTTAAAAGCAGTTCTGCTCTTCATAGAAAAAGTTTAAAGTGTACTTAAAAACCACAGAAAGAGAAGTTAAGGAAGATATCTTAGTGGAGGCACCATGCTGCCTCCTTTACTGTCAATGAGGGTTCTCATAGAAGAGGGTAGGCTCTGTATACTTTCTAATTTAACCAAAAATCTCCATATCCCTGAAGAACATCACATTACTCTGTGTCTCTGTATAATTCAAGCTTATAAGGCACACACATACTTAATCCAGGTTTGAGTAGAATTAAATTGACAGCCACAAGTTCTATGGCACGAAGCTGAACAGGGCCCAAGTATGATTCAGGGTGCAAAGCATTTGGACTTGTTTCAGTCTAAGTTTAGGCTAAAAATGTTAGCATCTATTTATATAACTATTATCATAAAATTCCGCTTATTCTGAATTTTGTCATCCTGGGTGTCTGTTTTCCAAGAAGGACAAAGTTCTCTCCTATGACACAGAAAGGCTTGTTTGAATGCTTCTAAAAACATGCCTTGCATCCTTGAGTTCATGAACACTTTAAGAGGAAAGTATATGTGTAATAATGTTTGCCACAGAAAACTATATATTCACTTAACACCAAACAAAATGACCTTACTTACCAACCAGTGTTGTAATGATTACGCTAACTACTTCTAATTAACCTGACCACTTTAATATGACTATGCCAAGCTAAAGGTATTGCTTCGGGGGGGAGGGAGTTGGAGAGAATTATTTGTTGAAAATACAAACTATTATTTTCCCTCAACATTTCATTTCTCCTCAATGCCAAACAAATGTGGGGAGAGCAGGGTGTGGCAGCCCTGGGGACGGCCCTGGCATTGCCTACCTCGGCGATGATGGGATACACCTGCTCCATGCACAGGGCAATGATGCTGGGGAGAAAGGGCTTGAACACCTGGCCAGGTTCCTGCACCACCACCTGCAGGATCTTCAGGAACTTCTCCACCACCCTGCAGCCAGTGCTACCTTCATGGAGGATGCTTTCAGCCAACTGTTCTCTGCAGACAAGAGAACATCATTCAGTAACCAAACAACTGTTCCTTTGGAGAGCAGCATGAAAACCAATTTATGGCAAGTGAAGAAAAGGTAGCAGAAAGTCCCCTGCTGTGTGGCCAGCTCCACTACTTCTCATAGGAATCTGAAAAGGCTTCTCATGTGAATCTCGTGTGTATGGTTACCTGGTAAACATGTTGAGGAAAGTCTGTATGATTTGTTCAGTAAAAGGCACACCCATCTGTACTCTAAGGCCGCGAAACAGAGTGAGGAAGAAGCTCAACATTTCATCAGTCACATCTAAATAAAGGAAATGATCAAAGTTAAACACATGGGCACAGGTGAAGCCCCTGCCCTGACTGACTTTCTTTTGCAATATGCACTGTCATCTCTCTCTAATGCTTCCCACTGGAAATTTCCCCAGTACCATCAGAGCCAATGATGGAAAGCAGAAATGATTAAGAACCTGCTGAGAAAACAGCTCTGGTACAGGGAACCTTTGCTTGACAGCACAACAGGAACTGGAGGTTGCCTCACAGCCTCCCTCAACACCCAGCATCCAGCCATGCTCACAGTTTACACTGCAGATGGATCATTTGTGCTACTCTGATGAACTATTCAACTGGGTCAACACCTGAGTGACATAGCCATTTCTCTCTATGACCAATAAGCCCTTCAGTTGGGTCAGGAGTTAAGTGGCTAAATGTGGATAATGAGGGTATACTCAGGCTGTAAGACCCTGCTCCACTAAATGGACTAACTACAGATACTGGTTACAGTTTGTGTGGCTCCACTTCCAGATCTCAATTATCCTTTGTGGTATATTTTGACCACATAATCTGCTTGCAAGAGATGATGAATATATGCTGAAATGTACTTCTACTTCACTGGCTGGACATGCTTTCAGGACAGTCCGGCATGTGCATTCAGAGTTAGCTTCATCGTTGACACTGACAGAGTAGGGTGAAAAGAGCAACCTCAGGCAAACTCACCCTGCCAGGTAAATAAACACTAATCTGAGACACTTCTCTCACCTCTCTTATGTAATGGTCACTACTCTCTCACTTTCTCTTGCTTACTGGGAAAAGGCAAAGATGAAAAAAAGAAAACTAAGAAGGTCACAAATGACTCTGCAAGGTGACAGGCACCAGCGTCCATATTGAAGGCTCTGTTTGCTTTTTCACTGGGCCTCAGCCCAGAACTCCCAAAAGAACAGCACTGCCCTCTGCCGTCGGCACTGGATTCCTCTCATGGAACAAGTCAAGACCTGCACTGTATGCTCTATAGCTATAAGCAGGCACTCAGGTACCTGTCAGCACCACCCACTCATGAGGCCTCTGGGCCAGCTCTTACCTGACTGATGGATAAAAGCTGGAAAGAGGGCCAGGGAGACCTGAACAGATTCCTGCAGTGACTGGTAGCAGATCTGTCGGGACTTGGTGGACTCCCCAGAGATATTTTCCACAATATCTTCTAAGACACTGAGTGTCTGGTGGATAATCACTTTGGCTGCAAATCAAGATTAAGCTGCAGATTATGAGTTGTTTGAGGATAAAGCACAACATAAAGAGGACACAAGAAGAAGAAATCTGCAAAAGGACCAGGAAAACAATCACACAGGTTTGCTGGGAGAATAGTCTGCCTTGGTTCCACTATATACATTTCCTTCTCTGTGTCTCTGTGTCTGTCTTTTTCTCCTTTCTACCGAAAGAACTCCAGTAATCTGTCTGTCCTCTTGCTCAGGTCTGTGCCTGTTTTGCCTCTATCCATCAGAAACAAGTGCACAGAAAATGAAAAATAATAAAATTTACTCCCATTATCAACTGCTTTGAACTTACTCAAAATTGTAAGATACAGGCCAGGCATGTGGCTCAGAGACAGACCACTCACCTAGCATGTCAGTAGCTCTGGGGTCAATACCCAGCAGCACAAGGAAGAAAAAAAAAAAGAAAGAAAGATGAATAGACCAATAAGAAAAGTTAAGTGTCAGGGGATAATTATCACAGGTAATAATCAAACTTTCTGTTGCAACTGCAGCTACCACCCCCCCCACCAATTAACCCCAACACGCACATGTACCGTTGCTAGGTTCAGGAATAGTTGCTTGATCATTCTTTGACTTATTAGGTATGTAGCCTGAGAATATACATAATTCTTGTTACGATATACTATCAACAATATATATAATTAACAATTTTCTGACATGTGTGCTCTCATGATGATTTCATAAAGCACACTGGGAAAACAGGCAGCGGCCAACACACAGGAGGGCAGTGAGTTCCATGAGACCCTCAGTTAACTGTAGCCTGGGCTAGGATCCCCTATGGTGTACTGGGGACGGCTCATAGCCTCATCTTGGTAGGGCTGCTATGAGAATTAGACACAAGGTTCAAACAATTCTAGCAAAGCCCTCAGCATATAAGAAAGGCCAGGACAAGGAAGCTGTCACCATTTCCCACCATGGGAGGAGGCTCCATGGCTTCCAAATCTTCTACCTGGCAGAATTCTCTGTTATCGTTCTGACTTCTCACCAGGCTCTGTGGAGCTGAGAGAAGACATTCAAAGAAATGTACAGAATCAGGTCCCTAACTCTGCTAGCTGCTGGATCTTGGCTTCCTCATCTGAAAATGCAGGTAGATAACATCACTTCATTCACGAAACTGAGGAAAGAAGACAATGGTTCAACAGCAGGCCTGATCCACTAAACTGTTGACAGTGGTGCTAAGCAATGAGTGCAAAGCATACCCACGTTACTAAGGAACCATTCACAATTACTGCAAGCCCATGAACTGTTACCAAGCTAAGAACTCACCAAGGCAGACACTTCCCCTAAAGAGGATATGAGGAGCAGTTTAGAGAACAAAATCAACAAAGTCAAGAGATCAAAATCTGACCTCTGACTTTTAATGCAATTAAAGCAGCTATCAAGGCTTATTTACAAAAATATAAATGTAAAAAACTGAAAACACTGTAAGTATATAATACTATGAGGATGGGTAATTATTGTACTTTCACATGGACAAGATATTATAAAGCCATTCAAAAGCATGTTTTTAAGAAAAAAGCAGCAACTTTAGCAAAGTAGTACATTGTCCAGGATCTAAAGCCATTTTAACTCAAACTCCTGATCCTGCGCCTTTACCTAGGATCTTGAGCTACTTAGACCTGCCTGGTGGGGGAAAGGTACCTTTCCAAGGGACACTAGAAGATATTGCCTGAAAAACAGTAAAACTAAAAGAAATGATGTAATAGGAAGTATACCACTACACTAAATTTGCTAGGAATAATCAGACAAAACAAAACAAGCCCTGGACCTCTCAAAAAAATGCCAATTCATAAGACACAACAAATGGGATGCTTTTCTGTGCTAAAAATTAAATATAATGCACAAACCCCAACTTTTAAAAAAGCAAAAGGGATATTTTGGTAACAATGGGAGAAATTTTCAATGTAGTCCAAATATTAAATATTATAGTGTTTTGGCTGTGTTAATGGTGTGTTGCTTATGGAAGACAGTATCTTTTCCTATATAAAGGTTAGGTATTCAGAGATAAAATGTCAGTTATGCTGAAAAAAACAAAGGTGGCCAAGTGCAATAGCACATGCCTGTAATTCCAGCTCCTTAGGAAGCTGAAGTAGGACAAACACAAGTTCAAGGCCCACTTGTGTAACTTAGCAACACCCTGTTTCAAAATAAAAATTTAAGAACAGGCTGGGGTTATAATAGTGGTAGAACACTTGGTTAGCTTGCTAAACTGAAATGAGTTTAATCCCCTGTACCAAACACACACACATACATACACACACACACACACACACACACACACAAACTCTCTCTCTCTCTCTCTCCCTGTCCCTCTCCCTCTCTCTCTGCCTTGGGGAGGGGAAATGTAAATGTTGAAACATAACAACTGGTAAATCTAGGTCAAAGACAAAAGACTGTCTCATCATTCAACTTCATTGTCTTGGCTAGGCATAACGGCACACACCTGTAATCCCAGCACTCAGAAGACTGAGGCAAGAGGATCACTGCAAGTTCAAGACTAGCCTGGGCTACAAAGTGAGTTCAAGGCCAACCTGAACTATACATAGAGAGACCCTGTCTCAAAAAGCAAAAAAAAAAAAACATTTCATCTTCTTATCCGTTCAATTTCTCTCTAAGTTTGAAGTTTTTTTGAAAGCATAAAGCTGAAATGCAAAAAAGAAACTTTCTAAATTGATTTCATCAATGAATTGAGGATAGTAAAACACACTTCACAGGATTATAAAGAAGACTAAGTGAAATAATGTATCCCAAGTTTTCAGCCCAGTGCCTGGTATATAGTATTAACCATATTTTATGTATGGCTATATAGTATTAACTACAACTGTTATACTATTTATATACTATTAACCATACTTTTAGTTACATTCAGAGAGAATCATGAAGTATTTCTTGCACATGGGGGCCTCCTACTTCGAATCCCCTCTGAGGTGAAGTCATGGCCATGCAGCTTACTCCGGCTCATGAAACATGAATGGAAATGGTATGTGTCATTCCCTGGCACAGGCGTTGAGAACCATTCCCCTGTTCACCATGTGCCCTCTCCAGTGTGAGCACAGACTAAAGTGGAACTCATCAGTCTGGGTCTCCTCAACCCTTTGATCCAAACTGAACACAGAGTATAAACAAGACATCATTTTTCTCCCTTGCCTAAGCCACCAACCTGATGGGACTGTTTGTTACCACAGAGCATAATTAGCCTACGCTGGATGACAGAATTAGCATGTAAGATGAAGTGAGGAAAATGGACCGCTGTAATGTTCCTTGACAGCTGTTTCTAACCCCCTGAGAACATTACTTCATCTTCCCACACCTTAATTTCCTCATAGTTAGTTAAAACAAGAAAATTAATAGTACCTAATGGGTAAAACTAATGTGAGAATTAAACAAATTACTGAGTTTTTTGGAACACATTTAGAACAAGGATCAGACAAACATCAGACTCTGACAGTAAATGCTAGAAAAGCTACAGCTCTGACAATGAATATAAAATCACTATAACAAGAGCCAAGTGCATAGTATGGCTTCAACATGTCAGCGAGTCTTACCCAACTACATAACTATAAACATATATAAAGCAGAAAAGAAAGCCAATCATGGTGGCACACACTTGTAATTTCAGTAATCAGGAGGCTGAGGCAGAAAGACTACACGCTCAGGAGAGCCTATGCAATGAATTCAAGGCCAGCCTGAACTCACAGTAAAATCCTGTCCCAAAAATAAAGGTGACAATGATAACAAATCACAGCTAAAATTATTACTTTCTGAAAGATTAAAACTATTAATAGACTAAGTTAGGAAGACTAAGTTCAAAGACTGTGGACTACATAGAAAGATCTGTCTCAAAAAACCAATAAACAAACAAAAAATAAAGCAGTTAGCCTTAGGAGTTTCTTCATCCTTCGTTATACTGTTCTAATATTTTTGTACAAAGAGCATATGTTAATTTTCTGATTATAAAAATGTTTTTAAAAGTCATGCTAAGTGTATAATTTATGATATTTTATAAAGCATTTTTTGTGACATTCTACAAACGAAACCATCTAATTTTGTTTCTGTATTGTATTATTGCAAAAATACATTGTATTGTGGCTGGGGATTTAGCTCAGCGGCATAAGCACCTGCCTTACAAGCAGGCGGTCGTGAGTTCGATCCCCGATACCTATAAAAATGAAAAAGACAAAAAAAAAAAATCCTGTAGTTTTGAAATATTTCTGTATGTGTTATTTCAGGAAGATTTTGTAGTGAAATCTGATTCCTACACTTGAACTAGAGTATTCCTGGTTTCATTTTTGTTTTCCGTCTATGAAAAAAAGCATACTTCAAGTACATTTGTAAAGACACCAAGCTCTTTCAAAATCTCTGAAATATTTGTGCTCAAAAAACATTAAAACCAATCTCCCAAAACAGTTCTTAAATTCTTTTCCAATATAAAGGGGAACTCCTTTGTTTGCTAACACAAGTACAGATCAATAATCACTGTAAGGTTTGTTTTATTGATGGCAAGTACCAACAACAGTGTCTTCCATAGATACTGTCCTTAGGTCTCTTAACGGTTACATTTTACCTGATAGAAGGGGCAGGCTGGATTCAGGAACTACATTCCACTGATGTGTTACAGATAAGTGGGATTCTACCACCCGAGTCTGACTTTCCTGCTTGACAGCAGTATGGCTATGGACAACTGAATTCAATTCATGAGCCTCTGGTGTAATTCTCACCTGCCACAAAGGAAGAGCAATCTTGCCCTATTTCCCTGGGTTTTCCTATCCAAAGGTCACTTACTGTCATCCAGTGGCATCTTTCTTGGAGGGGTGACAGTGTCGGGTTTCAGGTTGCGATAGTCCCTGGAGAGCGCAGAGATGAGGCTGGCATGGTTGATAGAGCGCACAGGCCACTGCTGCTCATTCTCAGGAAGGTTTGGCCATGGAAGCAGCAAGATGTTAGACAATGCTCGACACACCAACACTTGTGCCTACAAGACACCCAAAGGCACCCATAAGAAGTCAAAGAAAAACCAAAGGCAAGGTGCCTATGCCTGATACAACCTGGATTCCCTGGATGCTTTGAGCTCCTTCCTACTAACCTAGGACAGGCCCCACAGTCCCCCACTAAGGTAACCCACACAGGAAAATGAAACTCAGCAGGAAACCCAAGTCTGAGTCTGGCACATCCCTGCTGGTGTTCACACTTCCCCTCTGGTACTGAACCATTAAGAAGGAGAAAGGCCACTGCACACACTGAATCTAACACGGCCCTCAGCAGCTACCTTCCGACATTCACCAAGGAGTTACTCAGAACAGGGTTCTGCAGACTCTCATCCTCACACATTTAATCCAGGTGCTCTAAAGAAGAACTTGCTTCCTCCCCCACTTCCTACCTACCCCCTTTCTGTTTCTTTAAAACACCCAGCCTGTGCCTCCCATGAGGTTTTTTTGAGCAGAGACCTGCCTGGAGCTTCTTGACCTCAGAAGAAAACAACCCAGACTGATTGAACTAGAAATACAAAGAACTCTCTCGACACTGGCCAAATTACAAGTTTTCAAAGCAGCAAAGCCTCTCTGCATGTTGAAAGGAGTTGTTCCACATCCAAGTCAGCACTGTTTGCCTTAGAAAGACCAGCAAAGAAAGAACCACTGAGGCTGTGTAGTACCACACACATAAACAGTCCAACCAGCACAATGTGGCCTGTAAACTATATATTCAAAACGAAGCCAGTCTCTGCCTCCTCAGCTCCCCAGATCTGAGCTTTGGGGACCCCAGGGGTACCTTGGGGTCTTACCTTATCAACAAGCCTCTGAGCAGATGCATCAGTGATCCTGTTGAACACCTTCTGCACCGCAGGGATGCTAATTAGAAAGACAGGGCGCACAGTGGTGGCGAGGGAGACCAGTAAGTGGCACGCGGAGAGCAGCAGTTTGTCTTGGACCTGGAAATGGAAGAGGACAAGTTGGTTTACTATATCCCCGGCATGTGTGCCATCAGGAAAGCTTTGTGAAAGCAGCCCGAAGCTAAACTTGCCAGTGACTGCCAAATTATACCAACTAGGTATAATTGCCTAGAATTACTCCTACAAAGACACTCAGGAACAAGGTGCTTGTCTTTGTTCCACATTGATAGCTCCTGCCCTCAAGCCAATTATCAGTCCCCCCACCCAGGTTCACTTCACCCCTACACCCTCTCTGCACTGGCCACTGAACCCAGGGCCTTCACACCAAGATACATCCCCAGCTCTTTTTAATTTTGAGATGGGGTGTTAATAAATTGCACAGGTCAGGCTCAAACTTGGGATTCCTCCTGCCTCAGCCTCCCAGAACGATGGGATAATAGGCATGAAACACCACATCTGGTTTGGTATCACTTCCAGTCCCTTCTTCACAGGCGCTGGCATTTCAAGAACACAGAGTGGCTCCCTCTGAGACATTACATCACACGGCACATTCCTTGACATGTTACCCAAGTCTTCCTCTTCAAACAACATGGAAACCTTCATCTCACTCCCTTGACTCCAACCAAGCCAAGATCTCTCTCGGCATTTCCTTTCTATACTTCATCAATCACATCTATCTCTCCTATTTCTTTAACCTCAATTGCCTATCAAAAACTTGATTCTAATATCAGTATCACTTTCAAATCAGAAAAAAGGAAACCTTTGGGTGGAAGGGAGTAGAGGGTTAAGGACACAAAGCAACCCAGTGTCTTGTGCATGTTAAGCACACATTCTGGCAAGGCGTGACAGTGTAAACCTGTAATCCCATCACTCTAGGGGCTGAGGGATGATAAGCACAAATTTAATTCCCTCTTGGACAACTCAGTGAAACTGGTTACAAAATAAAAAATAAAATGAGCCTGCACTGTAGCTCAGAGCAGAAGTCCTAGATTTAATTTCCAGTAATACTTAAGAAAAAAAAAAAGGCACATATTCTACTGACTACATTCCAGTCCTATAAACAGGACCTAATATTGTTAAGAATGTGCTGAAAAAACACATAAAAGAGTTGGGACATCCAGAATTATTTAGAAAAGAAATGTCACCACAATTTCCTAGAACCACAAAATACTTGCAAACTTTCACACTAAAATCTTCACTTATTCTAAGGAAATTACCTAAAAATAAAGCTATATTCATGAATACATACATTTCAGAATTACTTTTAACTAGTTTTTCAAGATGGAGATAGTCCAAAAGTCAGGTAAGATAGGGACCACACTCCTTAGAGCATGTTATAACTCTTTTATCAATTACAGTAAGTACAACTTTAACTTACAGAAAATAATACATTGTTAAAAGCGATATAAAATGCTATACATGTTAAAACTACAAAAGAAAAACAAGTATTTATATGGCCTATTAACATAAATTGGCAATCTTCTTGAAGGATAACTTAGTAAAATCTGTCAAATTTTAAATGGACATATCCTTTTACTCAGTAGAGTCCCATGAATGTGTAGAAAGAGACATAAAGAGAGCCCTCTTACAGTCACAGAAAAATCTGTGAATTGATCTCCATGAAATAACACTGAGCAATATAAAACACAAAAGTTGAGATATATATATGTAAAAGTGTTAGGCAAAACCAGGTATTATCTCTAGCTATGTACAAATTTATATTTATAAATGAAAGAATATACAACCAACCACTGACAGCACTTACCCAGGGAGGGAAAAGGTCTCAAAGGAAAGGATTAAAGAGTAAAAATAACTTATTAGCCTGTAAACTTCAACAAAATTTTACTTGCTTATGATGAGCATGTATTCATGTAAAACTCACAAAACTAATAAAAACCATGTTTGAATGTTGAACTACAATGTTATATCACAGCAATAAGAACCAGGGTTTAACTGTGTGATATTATGATTTTATGGTAAACAGGTACGTGAGCAGAACAGAAAGAGAATGACACAAAAGGTGGAGCTTTCACTGTTTCCAAACCTTGGTGCTGATGAGAGGTGTGATGGCATCCATGGTGGTAGAGATGAGCGTCACGAACTGCTGCGTGTTCTGCCGATGTGCTTCGCTGCAGTACTGTGCCAGCCAGTGAGAGTAGGCCTGGAGTGCGGCCAGGGACTGCGCATGCCTGCAGAGAGGGAAGACCTCATTAGCTCAAGGGCTAGGTGCACATTAGTTAGCATACACTTGTTGTCACAGGAGAATTCTATCCACTGTGCTGGATACTCCAGGACATGGTGACAGTCTTAAAACCATTTGCCCACTCACACAAAGACCTGAAAACTCAAATATTCAGCATGTGCACATGGTCAGTCTAGAACATAGATAGCAGTTAGTAAGAGTATCTATCGGGTCTTAATTTTTTGTGATACATGAGTTCACCTGAGAGGATGGTAAATTATAAAAACAGAACCAGCAAATTTTATAATAACATACTAGTTTTAGAATTAGTAAAAACGTAACATCCATAGCTGCAAGCCAAGATGAAGACAAGTACCAGGTTTTACAGCTTTGTGAATAAAGACTTGAGCTAAGAGCCTGCAGTTTACACGTCCATCACACCATGCATCTGGCTAGAAACAACGGAAGTGCCAAAGACTGGGGCTAGGGATTTAGCTCAGCGGCATAAGCACCTGCCTTGCAAGCAGGCGGTCATGAGTTCGATACCCGGTACCGATAAAAATTTTTTAAAAAGACAAAAAAAAAACGAAGTGCCAAAGACTGTATCTGCTTTCTGCAAAGGTCGCACTGCATCACACAAGCAATAAAATATATTCCAAGAAGGTTCACAATTCATGAAAAATGAAGAGCAAGATATCTCAAGATGAGGAAGTTGTCTAAGAGCTTCCAAGCACCAGAATTTGTAATGTCCTAAAAGGTAATTTCTCTCCTTCCTATAATAACTATTAACTAATCTGTGGGGTGATACTAGGGACGACAGAAACATACTGTTCCCATGGTTTTCACACCACTGATGATCCCTGTCTAAATCATTATATACTAGTGTTTGCAAATGATGATAATCCTGTCTTTCCTCCCCAATTTGTTTGCTAGCAATCTTCTCTAAGGAGAGTGTTTCCTCTCCTCCTGTAGACTTTTTTTTTTTTTTAAATCAACATGGATGTAAGGACTCCTATTAATCAATATGGTATAGCCCATTATTCTCATTTTTTTCTTGATTATCTAGTCTGTATGTCTTTTTCACACATCCCTAACATTCAAGAATATGTCATTTTTAATTAAATGACGAAACAATAAAAATCAACAAAAATCAAATGACTACAATTTCTTTGCTTACAGGTTTGAAAACTTTAAGTCACCTTTATTAAGCACCTTTTATGATAAAAATGCATCAAGAGTGCTAATCTTAAAATGTGTATCAATGCAGAGTACTTCCAGTTTCCGTAACTTTCTTTTGTACACATTGTGAATGTGATCCAAGTATACTGATTCTATATAACATTATTCCTAAAGATAGCCACCCATCTTTGTAGACTATACAAAATGAGCACAGAATGTACCACTAAAAAGAATTCTTTAACCTACTAAGAGAAGCAGTACACACGGTTTCCATTATTGAAGTAGAGACCATATGTTATTGTTTTCTATAACCCTTTCTGAGCTCCTTTGTACATGCATTCAGAGGAAAACTCCCAAATAACTTTTCATGAAGTTTGATTTCAGCTCTTCTAAGGTCTTCTAATCCAATTCCTTATTTTAGGAGCTTATCAACAAACCAAAGTATTTTAGTTTTATCACTACTGAACATATTTACAGTTTCAAACACACTTACATAGCTAATCAAAATGTTCATAGGTTTGTAAAGACATCATGTGATAACTTGCTCATGTCTAAACCAACCAGCTTCTCCAGAACCTCCCTAACCTAGGCTTTCACCTTTCTCCAAAAGCTCTGGCTTTTTGTAACAAAGTATTTTTGGAACCAAGAGCTGGGTAGGAGAGGTAGCACTGCTACTGCAATGTCATTGCTCCTGGTTCTAGTCAGTGGACAGAGCTAGGATATAGTTATAAGTAGACGTCACTTAACACCAAACTTAGCATCAACAATTGAGGGCAGATTTAAGGACCTCCTGATAAAAGGAAAGAGGACAGAGACACCATACATATGTGGCAGTCTTGCCAAAATGTATAACCTTCAAATCAAGAATGGAAACCAGCCAACTCCAGACTATACGAGATTCTTTTCTTAAAAAATTAAGGTCTATGGTTTAGCACAGCAGTGTAAGCACCTCTTGGCAAGCACAAGGTTATGAGTTGGATCCCTGGTATCAAAAAAAAAAAAAAAAGGTCTAAATCTTTACAAATCTCTCTCTCAAACGCACACATATACTCAGGGAGCACAACTGGGGGAAATGTTCTAGATTATAAAAGAAATTTAGTGTATGTGGCTCATGATTAGAGCTTGGATCCAAAAGGTATCTATAAAAGACAGTCCTGAAACTATTGGAGAAAATCTGAGTATAAATCATATATTTGATTATATTATTGTATCCACTAAATTGAGTACTGATGATGGTATTATAGCTAAGTAGGAGAATGACCTTATAACTAGGAGATAAATGCTAAAAAAAAAATGTATGGGTGAACTGATGTGTCTGTAATTTATTTTCAAATGGCTCAGTTAAATAAATTATAGAAACATACATGTGTACAGAAAGCAAGTATAAAAAATATATATAATTGATGACTCTAGGCTAAAGATATGAGAGCTCTTAGTCTACAGTTTCTCTCAGTCTATAAATTTGAACTTTTTAAAAATAAAAGAAGAGATACTAAGTACCCTACATTCATAGCAAACAGACAATTATTTTGTATTTTACATTCAGAATTCATCAATTAAAAACGGAGGAAGAACATCACAGTCAATATGTGGAACCTAACAGTTTTAGTCTATCTAATACAAATAGCTCTTCATGGCTAAAACTGCAGGCTCTCAAAGTTCCTGAAACATGAAAGTTGCTACATTCATGAGCAAACTGGCATCTAAGACACCTCACAGCTTTCAGTAATTCTCAAAGAGGAAAGCAATATTTTCAAAAAGTTTAAAACCACAGTAAATAAGATTCTTTTTTTTTTTGTCTTTTTCTTTTTTTATCGGTACCAGGATTGAACTCATGACTGCCTGCTTGCAAGGCAGGTGCTTATGCCGCTGAGCTAAATCCCCAGCCCCAATAAATAAGATTCTTTCCATCATTTATTTAGTTGGCAGTTCAAGAAAGCTCTAGAGCCATGCATGGTTGCTCTTGCTTGGAAGTCCAGCACTCCAGAAAGTTGACTCAGTGTTCAAGCTTAGTCTGGGCAATTTATTAAGATGTTGCCTCACAAAAAGGAGGGGTAGATGAGGTGCTACAAATATAGCTAAGCATGAAGGTCCTGGGTTCAAGTCCTAGTACAATAAAAAAACTAAATCAGGAATCAGACTATTGGGCTGAGTGTACTGGGAATTAATCACTGAGCTATATCATCAGCCCCACTTCCCCCTCTTTTTAAGACAAGGTTTCACTAAATTGCCTAGGCTGGACTTGAATTTTTAAGCCTCCTGCCTCAGCCTCCCAGAGGGCTGCAAATTTGTAGACCATATATTCTCTGTCACAACTATTTAATTTTGCTGCTGTAGCCAGAGATGATATGTAAATGAATGAGCATCGCTGATGTCAAATAAAACTTGATCACAGAAGTCTGTTGTCTTAGCCGGGCATGGTGGCTCACGCCCGTAATCCCAGCACTTGGTAGGCTGCGGCAGGAGGATTGTTGTGAGTTCGAGACCAGCCTGGGCTACAAAGTGAGCTCAAGCCCAGCCTGAACTGCACAGCGAGACCCTGTCTCAAAAAGATAAAAAAAAAAAAAAAGAAAAAAAGGCTGTTGTCTTAGTTGAGCTCCTGCACCAGCCCCAAGAGAACAGGCTAAAAACCATAATCATTCTACTCAACCTAGAGTTCCATAGAAATCAAGCTGCTTACTAAGGGTCCTAAAATTCAGGATGAGAGAGAATATAGTCAAATTTCCCAAATGGGTTATTACCAAACAGCACAATAAGGTGGTTCCCTCTGCCATAAGCCTTACCCCAAGAAGGTAACTTGAAGAAATCTGATGTTAACCAATCAGTTATTTTTATATCATTCTGCTTCCTTGAATATGCTTAACGGGGAAAATAACTTTTTAGAATAATCTCCTTTTTGTTTTTTGTTTCTCCTTTCTTGTCTATAAAACCAACATCTTCTGCTCAGCTCATTGGAACACTTGGTTTGGCCCAGGCTGTATTTACTAATCTGTGCTCTGGTCTAAAGTAAACCTTGTTTGTTTGTTGTTTTGTTTTTTGAGACACGGTCTTGCTATCCAGGCCAGACTGATCTTAAATTCACTATATAGCTCAGGCTAGCCTAGAGTCTACAGCAGTCCTCTTGCCTTTGCCTCCCAAATGCTAGGATTATAGGCTTGTGCCATCATGCCCAGCTAAAGCAAGCCTTTTGAGCAATGCAATCTCTGGAATAAGTCTCCTAATCCCCACTCCCCACTACTACTCCATCCCTCCTACATGTTACTGTACTTCCTGTGTTGATAGTTTCTCAAAGTGTGGCCCAGTTTCTTAGATGTCTTGTTTCAAAATAATCTGAGATTCTTATATAATACACAAATACTTAGGCTTTACACCATCCTACCAAAGTCAGAATCTCTCAAGAAGAGTGTTTACCAAGAATTCTTCTGTACCCTATTGTAGTCCTTTGTAAGAGTACCTTTTTTTGTTGTTGTTGTTTTTTGGTTTTGGTATCGGGGTTTGAACTCACGACCTCATGCTTGCCAGGCAGGCATTAATGCCACTAAGCTAAATCCCTGGCTTCTACTGTGGTACTCTGATATGTGGTTCTTCTACTGTGGTTCTCTGATGGTGCCTGGCTCATGGTTCCTATAATTTTTATAATGTCCTAAGTGACAAGAGCTTTAATAAGAGTATCTTTTGTTTTAAAATGTGAACATTTTATACTTGGCTCCTCCAAGAGTTTCAAAGACATGGACTGGAGGCATTTCTGGATAACTAAACAAATGGGAGTGTGTGGAGGACACCCCACTTGCAGAGGCATGGAAGTTTCATATCCCTTCCCTCATACCTGCTCTATCCATCTTCTCATCTGATATTCAGAAGTATCCTTCATAATAAACCAGTAAATGTGTTTCCCGAGATCTATGATCCCCTCTAGCAAATTAAACTTGAGAAGGAGGATTCAAAAATCCCAACTCACAACCAGGTGGTCAGAAGCACAGGAAAAATCAGATGGGGCTTGTGACTAACACTGGAAAGGGGAGTGGCAGGGAAAATCCTTGGGGAGTAAGTCTTCAACCCGTGGGATCTGATGCTATCTTCAGGTAGCGTCAGAATTGAATTGAATTCAAAGACACTCGATTGGTTTGTGATGCTCAACAGTGGGAAGAAATTACCCTCTCCATTCCCAATATGGTATCAGAAATCATTCCATACCTATAGTTTCAGTGAATAGCCACACAGGACAAAATTCATGGCATTTAAGATATTGCTGTATTAGTGCCCTTCTGTATCACACAGAGCACTCACCATATTCCCAACCAGGTGACTTTCTCTCAGCCTGTAATGTTTCTCCCTCCAGCAGTACGGTGCTCTATATCCTCTACCATCCTCTCGCTTTCCTGATGAATCCCCTTAAGGCAGCCACCCCTGCCCCAAGATACCACACAACAGTCTCTCTCTTCCTAGGTCACAGTTTAAGGGATTCCTCCTATTTGTGGCAGCAGCCATTGTTCCATATATACATATTCTGTGTGTGTGTGCGTATCTCCATCATTTAGAAGTGGGGGACAAGGACTCTGCCAAGATGCCACTTACACATCAATGAGGTCGGGTTTCAATACCGATGGCACTGCAGTTTCAATGTTGTACAGTTTTATCTGAGATCCATACAGAGTCACTTTGACCAACCTATTGGCAAAGAAGCAGGTGAGAAAGAACATTCAGCTTTATGACTCAAATGATACAATACTAACAATGGCAAGCCCCAAAGACAGGTTTTTCTTTTTCCACGTAGTAAATCCTTGAATTACAAACTTTTGAGTTGCAAACTTTCACAGGTATACTATATAAGACTCACTTTGTCAGTTTACAAATGAATCTAACTTATGAACAGTTCTCCTAGAACAGAACTCATAGGTCAGAGATTTACTATACCAAAAAAGATTTTTAAAAACCCTGCAATTAGGGGCTGGGGATTTAGCTCAGCGGCATAAGGGCCTGCCTTGCAAGCAGGCAGTCGTGAGTTTGATCCCTGGTACCGATAAAAACGAAAAAGACAAAAAAAAAAAAAAAAAAAAAAACCCTGCAATTTTATCCAAAGAAAATAATAGGAAGGTTTATATACAATTAAGATGTATATATACACTGACACCAAAGCTTTACTTACACCATCAAAAAGTTTTAAGAGTGTTAGGGCCAGGCATGGTGGCACATGCCTATAATCCCAGCACCCGGAAGGCTGAGGCAGGAGGATTGTGGTAAGCTTGAGGCCAACCTGGGCAGTGAGTTCGAGACCAGCCTTTACAACATAGTGAGGCCCTGCCTCCAAAAAAAAAGCTTTAAAGTATTATAAATGTCAAAGAATGTAACACAATATATTCAATTAAAATTATACTTAAAATATTTCAGAATATTCAAGACAGTATGAAAACTATTATAGAATAGTTATATAATATTATATATTATAATATATAATATTATAACTGTTATATAATTGGCTATATAACTATTATATAATAGTTATTATATAATATAATAAAATAACTATTACATAATATATTGATTTCTGTTTTAAAATGTCTTAGCTGGGCATGGTGGTACACCATGTAATTCTGAAATTCCCATACTTGGGAGGCCAAAGCAGGAGGAGACAAGTTAAAGACCAGCCTGGGCTATATAGCAAAATATCTAACTTTAAGGAAAAAAGACAAAGAAGATGGAGGAGAAGGAGCAGAAGGAAGAGGAAAGAAAAAAGAGGAGGAGGAAAAAGTGTACCCATTAACAGAAGAAATGCTGGGAGAATTTTTACCACAATATGCTATTGGCACCCTTTGCTTTAGGTTGGATGAATAAATAATACAAGCAATTTTCCCTCCTATTAATTTTATTTCCAAATTGTCTACAATGAACATATGATACCTTTCTTTCACTATGCAGCACAAACTGGCCTGGAACTTGCAGTAATTCTCTGACTCAGCCTCCTAAGTGCTGGGACTACAGGGCATGCCACCATGTTTGGCTATAATACTTTCCATGTGAGAATTAAAAAATTATTTTTTATAAAGTAGAGTTGCCCTTTTGATAGTTTATCTAAAAAGGCTGAAATTTTTTTTCCATAAAATTTCTAATGTTAAAATCAACATGGTGCTGAACATGGTGGCACACAGGAAGGCACTTAGGAAGCTAAGGCAGGATGATCTTGACTTCAAGTCCAGCCTGGACTACATTGTGAGACTTTGTCTCAAAAAAACCAAAATAAACCAACAAAAATATTGACCAGATACAGTACAACACTAGCCTAGCATGCATGAGGCCCTAGGTTGGATCTCAGGTACTGCAAAAGTAAAATCAAAAGCCCACAAAGAAAACTAACTCGATTTTTACTTGGGGTGGGAGAATGTTACGGACTGAAGTCAGGGCCTCACACTGAACTACACGCCTAGTCTTGTATTTTGAGACAAGGTCTCACCAAGTTGATTGGGCCGGTCTTGAACTTGCAATCCTCCTGCCTCTACTTCTGGAGAAGCTAGGCTTACAGGTACATGCCACAGTATCAAACCTTAAAATAATTTTTAAAAGGCAATGCTTCAGATGAATTGATATTTAATATAAAAAATATGGCAAAATATGCACTGTCAAATCTAGGTGGTACATATATGTATTTTTCCTGTATATTTCTCTGAATTTTTCTGAGAATTTGAACATGTTTACAATAAAACATTGGAAGAGAATGATAAGAGGAAAAAATGTTTCTGAAATCAAGTGAGGAGCTTTAAAATCCACACACAATTCTTTCAGAAGCAAAACATACAAAGGAGCATTACAGATGGTAACCACTTCTGTTAGCAAACAGGAAACACTTCTCTCTTTCGAAAGGAAATGCATTCTTTTCTGAGTGAAAGGAAGAATCCAGGAGCAGGCTTCTAGGCCTAGCCCAACTGGGAGCATGGGAACCTGGGAGCGTGGGAACCTGGGAGCATGGGAACCTGGGAGCGTGGGAACCTGGGAGCACAGCAATGCAGAGACAACGCAGCAACACAGGTAGCTTCTGTAAGTGTGAAGTGGGATCTGGAAATCCTCACCTCTGAAAAGCACCCAGGAATGAAGGCCTATATTCTAGGAAATGTTCTTCTTGGACAGAGGGAATGCAGAACTTTATTCTAAATAGAAAACCAACACTACTCAGAGTATAACAATCAGAAAGGGGTACTTCCAGTGAGTCAAAGAAGTGAGGAAAAAGAGTCACATTCTTAATTTAGCTAGAAAGTGCTAGTGATAACTAGAAATCAAAATAGTAGGTCTTAGGGGCTGGGGATTTAGCTCAGCGGCATAAGCGCCGGCCTTGAAAGCAGGCAGTCGTGAGTTCAATCCCTGGTACCGATAAAAAAAACGAAAAAGCCAAAAAAAAAAAAAAAAAAAAAAAAAAAAATAGTAGGTCTTGGTAAGCACCACAACAAGATGTACCTGGTGTTGCACTCTTTAAATCCTTTTGCACACTACAATATAAACAGCTAAACATGTCTCTTCATATATTTGTGTTTAGCAGTTTAACTTTAGGTTTGCTTTATGTAATTTATAAATTAAAAGGCTGCTAATCACACAGGCTAGTAAGATCATGTAGCCACAGAAAGAGACTTCTTTCATACCCCAGTCTAAATGCAGGCAAAACAGAAAGCATCTGTAATTACCATGCTTGCAGACCAAAGCAATTCAAAAGTCATGTATATATATGGACTTAGAAAACAATGACTTTGTCTCTGATTAAGATGACTGACAGACACATCTATTTAGTGTTAACAGTAAATTTAAAAAATAGACACCTACAGATTTCAGTGAGAAAGATGTACCCTATCCCTGCTATACTAAACCTCAGTATAAATAGGCCTACCATGAGAAGAAAAAAATCAGGATCTCCAAACAGAAATTCTGCAGTTTGTAATAAGCCTCGCATTTGGACTCAGGAAACGAGTTAAAATCCATAGGCTCCTTGGCACAAACCATATGAGCTCAGCATGTACTTATCAGCTCTGAGTCACAATATTGCTCAATGGTAAATTGCCAATACTGGCCTCTCAAAGTGTGAAATGAAATAAGATAAAAATGCAAAAAAAAAAACTTTTCAAAATTTACTATTGTAGTATTTTTATTATTAATAATAATCTTGCTTTTAAGAGATTAAAAATCCTCAGGCTGAAGATGCAGCTCAGTGGTTCAGCACTTGCAAAGCAAGTGTAATGCTCTGGGTTCAACCTCCAATGCCACAAAAAAATTTTTTTTCTTAGTTACCTCTATATTTGAGCTAGTATGTAACAGTTGGAGAAAAATCTGGTATGCCCATAAGTAAATTCTTAAGGCTCAATTACCCTGTGTATCACCAGTGATAAGACTACTGTGCCAATGAAGTATTAGGCATCTGGGCTTCAAGCTGGATCCACATCTAATCAATTTACTAGTTACCTTGCAATTAGCTAAATATCCTATCACTTATATCTGACTCTCTAGTGTACACTGGAGGAGGGAAGACTAGTAGAATAGATGCTCCCCAACAAATATACAGCTAGAGATGTGTTGGGCAATATTTCATTTAAAGGAGCCAAGAAAAAGTCATAAAGGAGTCTGGTGGGAAAGGGCTAACATTATTCTCAGCCTAGGCCTAGAGGTTGCCCAATTTTATCCTTAGGATCTTAATGGGATTGAGTAAACCACAAAAGCCCCCACATCTCTTGGCTGGCTCCTTGGCTAGTGATGCTGTCCTTATGAGTGGGGCTTTCTTAATGCTGCTTTATCCTAAGAAGAAAAGACATTCAGATCAACTTCATCTCTTTTCTCCCAAAATCAATACTATCTATCTATAATACAAGATTATGAATAATACCTATTCATAATTTTCTTATGTGCTAGTACTGTGCTGAGTGCCTCACCTATAATTCCCACAGCAAACTGCAAGAAATGATTTTCATTCCACTGAACAGATGAAGGACCTGAAATTTAGAGACATTAACAGTAATCCAGTCCATTTAGTTTGGACATGGCAGAGCTGGCAATAATATGCTGCTCCTCCAACAAGATTAAATGCCTTTCAGCCAGAACTGCCATCTTCCAGTAATTCCAAAATGATGAACATCAAGGGAAAGAGGAGGGAAATCCAGTATATGCTCTCTATCATTTTTAGAAAACATGGGGTTGTCCCTTTGGTCACATACATGCAATCTACAAAAATGGTGATACTGTAGACATCAAGGAATGGGTACTGTGCAAAAAACAATACCACACTGATCCGGCCTGCAGATCAACAAGTTTGGAACTCCTGGAGGGGAAACGGGGATTAAATAAAAGACATGGGGGAGACAAAAAGAGACGAAGGCAAGTTGATGTTAACCCAATCAAGCCTCCGGTTTATTGAGAAAATAATCACACCTTTTATAGGCCGAGGGCGGGAGCTGGGACAGGAAGAGGTTAAACAGATGAATACAACAGGGTTATCATCACATCCGGATAAGTGACGTAAGCAGAAGAGGATTATGGTTAATGTAGGCAGACGCAGTGCCCATAGGAGAGAGAGAGAGAGACATCTAGGCAGCAGTGCCTGTCACTCGGCTCCCTACACCACACAAATGTCACCATGGCAAAACCGGAAGAGTCTACAATGTTACTCAGCATGCTGTTGGCATTGTTGTAAACAAGCAAGTTAAAAGCAAGATACTTGCCAAGAGGATTAGTGTGCATATTAAGTATATTAAACACTCAAAAGAGTCGTGATAATTACCTGAAATGTATCAAGGAAAATGATCAGAAAAAGGAAGCCAATGAAAAAGGTCCCTGGATCCAACTAACGTGCCAGCCTGCCCCGCCCAGAGAAGCACACTGTGAGAACCAATGGGAAGGAGCCCGAGTTGTTAGAACTTTTTCCCTATGAACTCATGGCAGAAGCTGGGGAGGAAGCTCTGCCATTCAGTACCGAATTGGTGGCTAAGTGCTCTACTTAAAAATCATCCTGTGTTGTACGGATGATTTTCTTAATTAAACAGGCAGATGTGCCTTTCCCTCAGAAACAAGTATTTGGAGCAGATTTTCATTCTACCTAGTTAATTGTGTCGGATCTTTACTCTTCAGCGTTTTTCTTGCTGAAAGATACTGCTGAGGTACTGTGTAAGTATATACTCAAATGGCCAGATATTGATGAAATATTTATACTGGCTTAAAGATCCTATAAATCACCATGGGAAAAGATGCATCAAAATAAAATGTAAGTCACTTCAGTTAAATGAATGAAGTCCATTTCAGTTATATAAATTGTTTAAACCAAAAAGAAAAAAAAAGATTAAATGGAGTTCTAAAGAAATGGATCCATTGCATGACAGCCATCCTACCTCTCTACGACTGTGAGGGCATCATTGAATCTTGCAGCAAACACATCTCCGATGAAGTACTCAGCTAGGCGACCCACAGCCTGCAGCAGGGAGCTCAAGTCTCTCAGGGAGCAGTGTAAGCGCCGGCAGTCATTCTCTGCAGTGATATTCAGCCTGTGTCCTGGAATATAACACCTGAACAGTTTCTCAGAGAACACATTTCTGTTACTGTAGGTAACAGCTTGTCCAGATAGGATGTGCAAGGCAAACCTGGTTCTCCAAACAAAGGAATGCACAGGATGATTCTCAGTACCAAGTTGGGAAAATGGGCACAGCCTCCACCCACAGCTATACTCACATGTGCTGGGGCCTGGATGGGAAGGGCCAGTCAGCCAGATGGATGAGCCCTTGAGCTGAATTCCCTTGATCCTGGTAAGGTACTAACACCACCAATTTTACACACAGAAATGCACCTAGGGAGGCCCAGGAACCTATCCAATGTGGGTCCTATTTCCAGGGCACAACTTGTATTCTAAGCCAGATCTGACTCCCATCCTTCTGCTCTGGCAAGTGCAGAGTGCATCCCACATTCCACCCTAGGTTTCTGGGTGGCACAGTATAGAATAAAGGTTGAGGATTGTGATTCAGAGACATAGTCCCTGCTATTTCCCAACACTGTGCCTCATTGAATACTTCCAATATCTATCTCTAGAATTGGGGATGGGAAAGGTGGTACTATTAGTTCATTGTTTTAAAGGCTGAATTAGAATGCACTAAAAATCCTATAAACTATAAGGCAACATACAGAGCTAGTGATTTTGTAAGGCTTAAGCTTCGTTAATTTTTAGCATATATTCAACCTAGCAAGGAGGTGACGAAGATAACAGACAAAAGCATCTTTCGGTTCTCACATTCTTGTCCTGCATATCCCTCTCCTTACAAATGTCCACAAGAGCAGAATACAGCCAGAACTCCCAGGCTGGGAGACACTGAGCTTGACAAGTGCTCGTTATTCCCACAGAAGATCTTAGAGTGCGGACCACCCGAGCCACAGGACATCTACAATTCCACCACTCCCTTTGTACTTTTCAAATCTGCTTCCTCAGCCACATCAGCCCTTTAACATCTGCCATCACCAACCATCACTGCCCTCCCCCTACCCCACTCCACCCTGCTCCATAACCATGGACCAGTCTGTCTTCTCATTGACTCTGAAATCCCCTGGGGAGGGACTAGGCCCAGTCACCAGCAGAGCACTGGTACATAGTGAGTAACCATAAATTGTAATTTCAATACAGTAGAACAGATGGCCAATTAGAGCAGGGAGTCTCCAGGAGCTTGATCTGAACCTTTTAGTACTTAAAGGTGAATACAGGTAAGCAGCCATTTACAGAGGAACACAGCAAGCAAAAACCCCCACAGAAAAAGTGGAAGATGAAGCACCGTCCTGATGCCTTGGATCCTACACCAACATCCAAGCCGTAAGTCTAGCTGTAGTACCTGTGATAGCACCAAGAAAGGCAAGAGCCTGAAAAAGGCAACACTTTGGCCAAGATACTGTCACAGATGCTCACACTCCAAGAAAAAGAGAACAAAACAAGAAGCAAGTTGAGGAAGGACCTTACTAGGAGAGCCGATCTTGTCCCAAATCTCCTAACCCAAATCTCCTGGCCCCCTTGTCCATACCACAGGGACAACACTGTCTTGGTGCCAAGAAAAGGGTGAGCTGCGGGGAACTCTGTGGAGAGCCACAGCTAGAGGAAGACTACCCTACCCCCAGCAAGATGAGCCCAGATGACAAGCAGAATCAACAGATTTTTTTTTTAAGTCATGCTTTCTCATGTAAGTGACACTGACTTTGTCAGGACTGAAAAATGCATGCACTATCTCAAAGTCAGTGCACTTTTCAGGATGACAGCCCATGTAACTCACTTCCAAGGTCAATTTCTAAAATCTACTTATCCTTTCAACCTTAGGGCTTCTGTGGCAAACAACTCCTTATGGAAAAGACACCTTAGAATTGGACATATGGGTGGTATTGGCCCAAAAAAGGTGAAGCCAGTTTGTTTTTCAAACAGCAACTTGAGAAGGCTCCTGACAGCTTCAGGAGTCCCACAGCCTCCCTGCACATGCCTATCTTCAGCTCCAATCAGATTTATGCTGGTCTCTGGTTTTCACCTTACAAACTGTACTTACTGTTCTGAACCAGGTATCATTAGAAATATTTAATTTTAGGTATACAAAGGAAATACTCTGTTTCCACTAAAAACTAAACCAACACTGTATCGTAAGTCTAGCCTCCAGTTGAGCATGGTGCTCAGTAGCAAGTTACTGGCTAGCTTTCATCTTATCCTGACAAAGCCTTCCCCTATTCCCCTGGCCCAGCATGTTCCTTCCACCTGGCCTGCCAGTCTCCTCTGGGACACCTCACCCTAGGGAGCTCAGTGTTCCTTGAGAGACACCTCTATCTTCATACAACTTTGTCAAAAACAGAGGGAAGATATGTCTCCCTATATTTCTCATTATCCCTGGGCTAACCCTTGAGGGTGGACTATGAAACAAGTCAAAGCCTGTCGACAGATGATGTGGAGGAAGACATGACATTATTCCAAACCCATCTTGGCTTTAAAAAAGTTCTGGGTCCTTCTAAGACTCCTTCTCATCCTGATCACCCTCTCTGAACTTTTCCTCATTTGTCTAGCAAAGTATAGCAGCTAGACAGAAAAACAGCTCAGAAGTGCTGTAGGTATGTTTTCACCTCCTAGCTGGAACCATTTCATGAAACTACTGATATATGACCACTTCTGAATGAGCTAAACCATGATTCCACACAGTGCAATTAAGTACATGTGGGCCATGGCAAGGTCAAATCAACACTGTGAATGGCTCTTTCCTGTTTAATCTGAAAGGCAAACACACATAGACAGGAGGTGCCCCAAGTCAAATGCTGCCTGCTATTCTTTCCAAACTAGAAACCTTCCATTTTTCCCCACCACAAAATCACATAAGACACCAACTAAACTGAAGAGGAATGAGTTCCTCCATAGCTACCTACATTTTCTTGTCTTTAGCTAAGGCTTAGACTTTCCCCCAAAGTATAGAACATTTACAAAGTAGAACTTTTCAGATGACAATATTACTATACATGGGTTTAGAGAGACTTTTAAAATACTCCATCTCGCATAAATATGCTCTAAACCATATCCAAAAAATAGATCTCTGTCAAATCCCTGCCTGGGGAGGTAAGGGAAGGTAGAAGGATGAAAACTAGCATTTGCGGCTTTTACTCTGAGACAACAAATAAATTATAAATCATTCCAAGCATACAAAGACAGAAGTCTAAAAGTCTTAAATACTGTACCTAAAACAATCTTGTGGGTAAGACAGCTTGCATGGCTAACCAAGAAAGTTAACGGGATTACGTTGCCCAAAGGGACTCAGTGACGGGCAGCAAAAGTCAAATACAAAAAGGACCTCAGGAGAAAAACCAATGAGAGGGCTTCTTTATCCTTGAAGACAGTGCAAACAAAAGACTTGCCGGGGGCATCAGAGGCTCTGAGCAACTGATGTGCAATACTAACACTACATGTCTTGTTTGGGCTTTTCTGAGGAAGTGGCAGGAAGAAGATTAGTAGCAGCAGAGGAAACAGTAACCACACCAAATCTTCTTCTGAATTTGAATGTTCTAACAAAATTTCAGGATAAGAGGAATAGGTACTTGTGAGTTGGGTAACAACCCTGTAGTTTACTACTGTTCAAAATGTACACTCAATTACCATAAAAGATCACATACTACTGGAGAAGAGCTGCAGCTGGCTCCTACCTACAAGGTAACAGACGAGACCCAAGAACTAAAGCAGGCCTAGAAGGGCAACACAAATGCAAGGAGAAAATTACAATCTAGCAGAAGAAAAGATAACAGAATTTCTGCTGAGTGATAAGGCCGACCAATATAGCAAGAAGGGTATCTGAGAAGACAAATGGCCATGGAAACCAGGGAACAAACTGTCCTCTACAGTACAGTTTTAATAGTCTCTGCATTGGAAACTTGGCTTTTGAGCCACTAAAGCACGGAGGAATGCTTTATCATGGGTAAGAAACTTCATCTTAAAACAAAAAAAACTCTCTCCAGCATGAGATGTTCAGCCACCAGTGTACGCACCAAGGATCAGCACTGAGAATAAAACCTATAATGATCTGTAAGAGTCAAGTGCACTGTGAAATTGCCAGTAAAAGTGCTTTGATGAGAATTAATATATGATACCTGATTTACGGAAAAATAAATCAGATTATTCTTCTAAGAGAAAAATCTCTAGTTATCAGTTGTTTCAGAAAAAAGTTTCAAACACTGTAAAATTTTATCTAAAAACGACTCAATTTAATGTTTAAAAAAAATTACAACACTGAGAAGGAAACTTAACAAGTGATTACAGGCTCAGTTTTCTCCCCTTTAATGCTGGGCCAAGACTGAAGCCAGGACCCTTATACTGAGCTACATCCCCATCCCTTTTAGTTCCTTTTGTTTTGCTGTTGGTTTGTGGGGTTGTTTTTGGTCCTTTTTTTATTTTTTGAGATAGAGTCTCACTTAGTCACTAAGTTTCCACACTGGGTTCAAACTTAGGACCTTTCTGTCTCAGATTTCCAGTGTGTTGGGATTACAGGCATGTGCTGCATGACAGGCTTCCTTTAAAAAAAAAAAATCAGTAATAATATATTTATCATGCACAGCACATTCTAATTTGAATAATGGCCCAGAGGAAGAGACCACCTAGACATGATTATTCTGAAGCATAGATTGTGGAGATATCTACAGCATCTGTGCAAAATATTAATGTTGATAACATTTTTTTTTAAATCAGTACTGCGGATTGAACTCATGACTGCGCTCTTGCAAGGCAGGTGTTTATGCCGCTGAGCTAAATCCCCAGCCCCTTGATAACATATTTTACAAGCATGTTTGTTTTGAAAATTGCCCTTTTACATTTCTCTGGAAACCATTCTTAACCTGTCCACAAAGCCAAGGCTTAGACAGGGGACGTGGCAAATACTATCAACCTCCTGGGGCCCAATGATTACTTAGAGGCTACTAGACTTGTGAAAACAAGTCATCAGGAAGGGCAATCTCAGAGAGAGCCTGCCATGAACAGCAAGACAGTTAAAGACATAGCTACACTCTATGCAACTCACTGCCAAGCTGGAACATCAGTGATCCAGCAGAGGGACTACAGGCCAGGTCTGGTGCAACTCTTAAAAAACCAAAATGGCACAGAGGAGATGGTGGGCCAGGGAGAACATACGGAACTTTAAGATACTCATGTTTTTAGCTGGCAAACATGAATAGCAATTACAAAGTTTCTTTATCATTTTCCCAACATTCCCCTCCCATCACGAGGGCTAACCAGCTATGTGATACGTGCTAAATTCGTATTTCTGAACATCAATGTGCCCTCTGTAAAACAAGGGTAATTAACAGCACACCTCCACAAAAGCTAATTAATAACATAGTGACTAGCGTACGATGTATGCCACACAAAGGAGGCTATTATAATCACTGAAATAACAAAAAGTGCTGACCCTACAGCCCATGCAGATGAGGCAATCAAAAAGCCTTTCCATCCAACTGTATTTCACAGTAGGAAAAGTAAGAAGCCAAGCTCTTAGTGCTCCATCAAGTTCCACCAACACTAGAGTTGTTCCCCTGTCCTGATTCTATAAACCAGAGAGGGAGCATCTCACAGGAAAGCCCAAGGTTGGTCCCTTCTTCACAGAGCCATTATTTAAAAGACTTAAGGAAATAGTCTAGTGTTTTTAAGCTTTACCCCCTGGTTCAAATTAACACCTTTTTCAAACACTTCCTTAGAACACAATATCATAACTTCATGTATTACCTCATTTAAAATTGCTTTGAATCATAAGTTTAAAAAACTAACTGTTTAGGGAAGAACGTAGCAGATAGATATAGATAACAGCAGCTATGGAGGCTCTCTGAGATAGCCAGCTTAGATTCCAGGAATGGTGCGGTGTGGGGAGTCCTAAGCAGGGGGAGATATACCCTGCCGACCCAGGAATGAACTAAGCTAAGAGAAGAGAATTGGAAATGCAATCCCGGTGCTACGACTGGAACAGCTGAAGTCTTGGTGCCGAAGCTGGAACCTGTGCCTCTGGAAACCACAGCTGGAATTCCCTGCCACCGCTGCTGCATCTGAATCAGCACAGCAGGGATAGGGACATGAAAGCTCTGACAGTGGGAATCGGCAAACCGAGTTGAGAGCAGAGCTGGCAGGGAGCCCTGCATCAACCTGCGGTGAATGAGAGGAATGGGGACCCCTCCACAGACTAGGAGGCTCCAACAGAGGACATTCTGGGACAGGGCAGACTAGCCAGAACAGGACACTGCAGTGACTTCAATCACATATTCCCCTCTCAAGCAGGACTGGGGGAGAGTACTTGACCTGGGTGACACCGCGGACTAAGACCCAGCAGGCTAGCCCAAACAAGGTCCCTGCGCCCGGCAGTGCACCCTAATGCAGTGAAGCCTTCAGGAGGTTGACTGACCTGGAGGGGCGGACCCAGCATAGGCTGCCCAGGTCTGTGTCTCCCTAGTACACTGCCGTGGGCGTGGATGGAAACACCTAACCTACGTGATTCAAGCAAACTGTAACCCACAAAGAAAGAAACTGGGCTTCTTATATATGCCTGTATGGAAAGAACAAAAAGTATGGGAAGAAGGAGCAACAAGAAAGGGTCCTCAGTCCCCAGTCCTGAGAACACTGATCCAGGAAAGGTAAACGTAAAGGAGAATGAGGACAGAAAATATGCAATATCAGGCATGGCACCAATAGACATGAAGCGGTATCTCTGGGACCTCATAGAGGAGTTCAAAAGGGAAGCATTTAACCAAGTAAAGCAAGATATAAGTAGAACAGTTAAAGAAATGCCAAATACCTCCCAGAAAAAAACAGATGGTGGAATGGAAGAACAGAAAAAAAAGGGGAGAATTGTTTGATGGAGAAAATAGAGAAAACGTAGAATACATGAAGCAGGTTCAAAGAGATTACCAGGAAACTAAAAACTCTATTGAAAGCTGGCAGAACAGCTTGAAAGTAACTAAGGATAGATTATCTGAACTGGAGGATAGATTTGTAATGTGGGAGCATGAAAGGAAAAACTTTTTTAAAAAACAAGGAAACAATCAGTCACAATACAAAAGCTAGAAGATGGTAAGAGGATCTATAACTTAAGAATTAAGAATGTAAAGGAAGAAGCAGGGATTCAAACAAATGAACTGCAAAGGCTATTCACAGAAATAATCAAGGAGAACTTCCCTAATATGGGAAAAGGTAAAGATACTCAGATCTATGAGGCATATAGGACCCTAGCCACTTACAACCCAAACAGAACTACACCCAGGCATATAATAATCAAAATTCCAGAAATCCAATATAAGAATAGAATATTAAAAGCTGTCAGAGACAAGAAACAGATCACTTACAAGGGAACACCCATCAGAATTACAGCAGACTTCTCGCCACAAACCATCAAATCTCGAAGAGCATGGGGCGAAATAATTCAAGCTTTGAAAGATAATAACCTCCAGCCAAGATTAACATATCCTGCACAACTGTCACTAGAAATTAATGGAGAAACAAGGTGCTTCCAGGATAAAGAGGAACTAGGGGAATTTGCAACCGCCAACTCAATTCTATAGAAAATACTATAGAACATTCTAAAAAAGAAAAATACCAAGATTCCAGAAACAGTGGCAGAGAGGCCACAATGAATGGAGCAGAAAGCAAAATGAAGATGACAAACTGACAACTAATGGCAGAAAAAGAGCTCAACAGAAATGAGGCAGAGAAGGCTGGATGATAGAAACAGCTATTTTGGAGAAAACAAGATATCATAATAGCTAGTGCTGATTTAATATCATCCTGTTTTGAAATCCCATCAAGCTTTTGTTCTTCTGTCTCCATCGGTCTTAACATGTTGTATCTTATTGGATTTTATTATATGTGATAATATAAACAAAAACTTTTAAAGACAAGGAGATAATACAGAAACCATTGTTCATTTTCTGTTAGTTGGTTCTAAATACCCTGTAATACTGCCATTCTCCTGAATGGTTTTACACTGTCTTGATATGTCTGATTCTACAGTATATAAAGTTATACTCAAAGATTTCAAGGAAAGAGACACTATGGTAACTACTTTTATGTCGGGATATCTTGTGGTGAAACACTATTTTGCTTCAATGGTTATATTCTGACCTGTGCTGTTTTGTTATGTTCTCTTTTATCTCAATCTCCTTTTTTTATTATTTATTTTTTAATTTTGTCTTTTTAATTAAGGGAAAAATAAATAAAAATAGCAGGATATATTATAGTAACCCAATTTGATTTCCTATTAACTTGATTTGAAACCTGTATTGCTTTCACCATCTTGTTTTGACTGATTTTACTCTATTCTGTTTTGCTTGAATAATACCAAGTTTGAGAGTATAGGCAACAACTGTGAAGACAATAAGATTCACTATGATGCCCATTCTGGTTTGACTATTTTCTTCTTTTGAAGTCCTGTAATGTCTCCAATGTTTTGGTTTTATTGGTTTTATTCTGTACTGTTTTGTTCAATTTTATTGTAACTAATGATATAGGCAATTCTTTTTAAGATAGCAAGAGGGGCATTATAGTAACAATTGTTGGTCACCTTGTATTCTGTTTTTACATTATGTATTATGTCCATCCTTTTGATTTGACTGACTCTATTTTGTTATGTCACATTTGGTTTTACTCTCTTCAAAAAAAGTAATAAGAACTGTGGGAGTAATAAAACCCAAAATGTGTAATTGTCATTGTACAAAAGAGAAGAAAAGAAAATGCTCTAAAGGATATAACTACATGTATATTTAAGCATATAAGATCAATAACCATATTACTGAGTTTTTATTGGATCATTGAACAGAACTGTTTGCTGTCTCACTGTTTGAATGTCCACTTTATATGCTTTAATTTTGTAACTTGAACAACTATTTCTAAGATGACAATATGTAATTTATTATCTAGTGATTTCCTAATTTTTTTAATTCTGTATAACTTGTACCCTTTTTCTGTTTTTTTTTTTTGTTTTTTTTTTTTTTCTCCTTAAATAAAATTTTTTTAAAAAGTTATCTGTTTAAAACTGGTAGAGCTGGGCATGGTGGGACACATCTGTAATCCCAACATTTTGGGAGGTTGAGGCAGAAGGATTGCTATTGAGTTTGAGGCCAGTCTGAACTACATAGTAAGATGCCCTCCCCACCCGCCCAAAAAAAAAAAAAAAAAGTGGAGAGAGATTGAGGAGAGATTATAATGAAGAAATCACATTATGACAGCAAAGTTGGCAGGAATTAACTCTCAGTCTGATTTTTCTTTTTTAAATATTTGGTTAACAGAAAATAAAAGTGAGTTTACCTGAGCCTGAAGTAACTATAAACTGCTGTAATCCCAAATAAACTTCTAAATTGTCCTGAAGAACTGGGAACTGAAAACAAAGAAACAGAGTTTTTCAAATGCAAGTTTCAATGACATTTTAACATTAGAACTAAGAATCTATGGGGAGAAAGGCAGAATTAAAATTTTTTCTCTAAAAATCCTAACATGCAATTAGGAAAAAGTGACTCCTCTTCAGTGCCCCCTACCACAAATTTCTAAAGTTGAAACCACCAATTAAAATACAGAATGGGGGAGGAGGGATATCAGTTTGAATTTTTTTAAGTGAAGTAAAGGATGCTAAGGTAAGACTAACATTCCTAGAAGAAATAGCAGGTCACCAAGTGATCTATAACTTTCAGAGTTCTGAAATAGGCCCAAATCTCCCTTCAAGTGTAAGAAGCCCTCTCCTTAAAGGAAATATCAAGTGTATGCCTTGGCAAAGCACATAATAAGGTTTAAAAAAAAGGCCAAATTCTTTGGAAGTCAGTTTCTCATGTCCATGTACCAGATGTGATTGCATAACCAGAACTCATCCTTGTAAAGTTACTACATTCACTATTAAAATAAAAAGAAAACTCAACTGGGTATGGTGGCATACATCTATAATCTCAGCACTCTAGGAGGCTGAGGCAAGAGATTGAAAGTTCCAGGCCAGTCTGAATACCTTAGTAAGACTCTGTCTCAAAATTTAAAACAAAACAAAAATTTAAAAGGGGCTAGAAATGTGGCTCAGTGTGATGGCCCTGGGTTCAACTGCCAGTACCAGAAACGGAGGAGAGGGAAAACTGTATGTTCCTCTATATGTGTCTAGGACAGTCACATGGCAAAATAAAAACAGTGCTTTTAAAACTTCAGATTTTATCCAATTTTATATTTTAAACAAGGCTTCCAAAGTTTACTTAAAGTAGTTTATAAGAATACTAACACTAGCCAGGCGTGGTGGCTCATGCCTGTGATCCCAGCACTCAGGAGGCTGAGGCAGAAGGATCATTGTGAGTTCAAGATGAGACTGGGCTACAAAATGAGCTCAAGGCCAGCCTGAACTGCACAGAGAGACCTTATCTCAAAAAGACAAAAAAAAAAAATTGCTAAATTTGAGTTAAGAGTCTCAACTCAAATTATTATGGGAATTATTCTTCTTTGTTAATCTTTTTTTCTTAAAGAACAGAGGGTGGTAACAAACCAGTTAAAAAAAAAAAAGTCATGCTACAGGTGACATGCTACATGCTACAAGGAGCCATTAAGATTCTTCATTCCCCTTCAAACGGCAAGTTACCAGAGTTGAGAAGGCATGTGTAGGAAGGAGCTCCATCACTTTGGCCACTACCTCCAGGCTCTGGCGTAAGTACCGCTGCCACTCTGTCTGCTGCTGTGAGAAAACAAATTAATCAGCTCTCCTGCCCAAGCAGAAGAATCCTGCCATATTCCCTGGCAGTTTTCTCCTATGCTTCCAGTCTACTCTTAACCATAAGTTTGAATAAATGGAAAATGATGGAACCAGGTTATTTGGTACTTTTAAAAGAAAAGTCAGAAACACTTCTTAATCCAGTAATTAATTTCATAACAATCTATTTCCTGGAAGGAAAACAATTCACATAGGAAATTTCACTTTCTGCCCCTCAGTTATAGATTTACAGAGATCAACACACACCTGTGAAAGATCTAAGCACCCTCTGCATCATCCCATCTACAGGAATCAGACACACTCCATTACCAAGTGTCTGCACACACATCTCATTCAATCAGTAACACTAAAGGTGTGGGCCACAGACAGGCAGCATCAGCATCCCTGGAGCACCTGCAGCAGGGCACTCTGTGGTCCCTACTCCAGACCTCCACAATCAGATCTACCTTAACAAGGTACTTAAGAGATTCTTGTCCAAACTAAAGGTTAAGAAGTGCTAGCCTAAATTAAGAGTTAGTAAGAAGTGAAACTAAAGTTCACCAAGCCCCTACACTATGTCTCTAGCATACAGCAGCCCTTCCACATGGGTGGCTCATGTAACTGTTAACGTAAGTCAGTGTAGTCAGGTTCTATGAGGCAGATGAGGGAATTAAAGCTCAGAGAAGCTCAATACTCGGACCCCCAACTGCTCTGTGCTCAAGGCTACAATGATTCAAATCCAGGACAACTGCTTCAAGTACATGTAGTCCCACCGACAACCCAAACATATGATCCCTATGGTCCTGGATCCTGCCACATCACTGTAATTTCAAGAACAGTAGCAATACTTGAAAATCTGAAAGTATCTAATGGTCAGAGAAAAGGAACACAAGAGCTGTGATCTTCAAAACACTTTCCTTATTAACCACTCACCAGTTTAATTACTTAAAATAGCATGACCAATTTGCATTTTTTGTTAATTTTTATGATAATAAGAAATATGAAAACAACAAATTTATCAAATGTATTCAGTATAAGAACCAACTAGTTGAAATCACACTTGCCCAAGCAACACTCAGCAGAGTTTACACAAAAACAAATAAACTGTCTGAGTGACGCTCAGTGTAAACTGTGAAGTGGTTAATGCTGGACGCATGCCAGCATCAATTACACTCAATTAACAGTTTATGATCGAGTTGATAGCACATTTGTGTAGTCCTAGCACTCTGGGAGGCTGGGGCACAAGGATATCAAGTTTGAGCCCAATCAGGGCAGCTTAGTGACTAGGATCTAGTCTCAAAATAAAAAAAATTAGAAAAAGTGCTGGGGATGCAGATTAGTAAGGTCCTGGGTTTAATTCCAAGAACCACAAAAAAAATCAGTTTACAAAATACACTCAAGACAGACTTTCTCTCATCCTAAACTTATCATTTAAATACCTCTTCAACTATTTCCACCAAGATGTTCTTTGTTGCCCAGAGTAGAGAGCAGAGGTAGAAAGGTGTAACAGAAAAGGAATGGGAAGTATACAGAGTTCTACCAATTCACTTTTCATTGTATATCTGCTTTGTCTACTTACATTTTTTGTCCACATAGATACAAATGCTTTTTTTCTAATATTCTAAATGTGTAGCTCAAACCATTAAGACTACCCTGGTTTAGGAAATCTCCAGAGCAGAGGGTTACAGGCTCCAAGCCTTGGTGGCAGTGACTAACAGCTAGTTAGGGTGTGGTGCTTACATCATCATCCAGAGTCTCATCATCCAACTCCTCCAGCTGGGCCTGGTTGTATCTGAACTGGATTCGATTCAACACCTCTGTGAGCAAGAGGACCAGGGCATCTTCGTACCTATTGGGAAACAGAAATTCAACATGACGTGAAAGGAAGCATGTAGCCCAGAATTTCAAAAAGGATTCCTGAACTATGGAAAGGAATAGTACAAACAGGTTAGAGTATCACATGCAAGAAGCATCTAAATCCCCAATGCTAAGCATATGATTCAGCAAGGGTGTGTTTGAACAGAATAGGAGTAGAGGCATTTATTTAAACCATATTCCAGGCATCATGTCTGTTTTTATCTCTGATAACAAATTTTATTTTAAAATCTATTTTGCCTGATATTAGTATTGCTAGTCCAGCTCTTTTTTTTTTTGGTTGTTTGTATTGAGTTTATTTTTCCATACTTTCAAACTACCTGTGCCTGAATCTAAAGTGAGTCTACAAGAATAGTTAACAGGCAACTGGATCATAGTTTTTAAAAATCTATCCTGCAACCACTGCCTTTCAACTGGAGAATTTAATCCATTATATTTAATAAAATTATTGACAAGGAAGGATTTATTTCTGCCATGTTGTTATTTATGTTCTGTATGTCAAATGCTCCTCAGTTCCTCCATTTTTGCCTTCTTTTGTGTTAATTTTCTATTGCAGCATACTTTAGTGCAGCATTTATGCCTGTCGTTTTTTTAACCACACACACATATTTTTATTTACTTTCTTAGTGGGTATCCTGGAAATTACAAGCATTATATGTATGTATCAATTCAATCAATAATTCAATGTTTTTAACAGCTACAAGAGATAGGTGGTACCATCCATAGCTTTCTAATGAGAAAGTCACAGTTAAGAATCCAGGACTCGCTGGGCATGATGGCTCATGCGTGTAATCCCAGCACTCCGGAGGCTGAGGCAGGAGGATCTTTGCGAGTTTGAGACCAACCTGGGCTACAAAGTGAGCTCAAGGCCAGCCTGAACAGCATAATGAGACCCTGTCTCAAAAAGACAAAAAAAAAAAAAAAGAAAAGAAAAGAAAAAAGAATCCAAGACTCTCTAACTCAAAATGCTGCGTTCTCTCAACATATATACCACCAGGGAGTTTTGTGCCTACACCACCCAATATCAAACCCCAACTCTTAGTTAATTTTAAGACGACTTAGGAACAAAAAAAAGAAATGGAAAAGGCCTGGGGAAATCTTGACTCCTGTGGCAGCTAGCGGAACAGCTCTTCAGAGATCTGAGCCCTCACTGCATGGGCCCCCTTCATCTTCTGAATTTTCATAATTCCAACCTCCTTCCTTTACTAGCCTCAGGCATAGAGTTGCTTCCTATATCTATGTCACCCTAGTATTCCCTTTAGGCTTTTCTACCCCTCTAAAACCCTATTTCCTACAATGAATTTTCTGTTGAAATCAGAATTGTGGTTTCTGTTGTTCTAACAGTACCCTAATTAATATTCTACCCAATGTAATCCAGGTTGAACACCTGGGCAAGCAAAGAACCAAACCAAAAAGGTATCCAATGTCAAAACCAAATATGATTCATCTCTTCTAGGAGTTACAACTCTGGTGACAAGACTCTGGAAAGACAGTCTACGGAACACTTACAAATCCTTCTGGACTGTCTCATTTCAGGGCCTGGCAGGCACAACAGCTCATTTTCTAACTAAAAATAGAGACACTGCCCCGTTCCAACCCCATAACCCAACCACTATTTGCAAATGACTTAGTAGTAACAGACCCCAGGCTTACACTGCACTAGCAACCGGATCACAGCCCACAAAAGAATGTAGTAGCTAGGGAAAATTACTAATAGAACTAGCAATATCTATGGGGAAAACCACAGAAAGGTGAGATCAAACACTTAGGCCTGAAGCTTGTATTTCTCATTTGCTCATAACATAAATTTCTAAAGTTACAGAAGTTTCATGTTATAAATTAAGCAAAACATTCTCAAAGAAAAAAATCTACTTCAGACTAGAGAGTATACCAGAGGATAAATAATTTCTGTGATCTATAAATTGCCTTACTGAACTATGAAAGAATTTACAAACCTTTTTGTAAGAACTTTCCTAATTTTGAACTAAAATCCTTACTGTCAAAGTTGGCAACTCTAGCTGGTGGAAAAACAAAACAAAACAAATCCAGTATTACTTAAAAAATTAAACACACTAAGGAACCATTCTAAAAGCACACAGATAATCGCTCTTGTACAGCGCTTCTTACAAAGTGGAGCTTGTCAGGAATATATGAAGAGAACAAAGACTTTAATTACTTGCTACCTACCATTTTCTCTTTCTTGGTAAAAGAACACTAGGTATGAGCCTGCTTTGCAGAGAGAGATGGCCCATGAAATACTACAAGAAGTCACTGAGTGGAACTTCTTTTGTCCAACTTTACCCATTGTTCCTTTGTGCTACCTGTATGATATCTGTTTATCCACAGAGCATCCATCTTTGACTATAAGGTGACTATGGAAATGGAAGCCATGCTTTATTCCCAAGGCCAGAAGGAAAAAAACAGGTAAAAGAACCCCAAAATTACGTGGTACACAAAGAACAAGCAAATGTTGAGGATTTCTTAAAAGAAAGCCAGCCAACAGATGGCAAAGTCAAGATGACACAGATGTTAGAATTATCCATTACTATAAGATACCATTACAACATCAACGAGGTTCTTCAGAAGAAAGGAGTTGGGAATGAATTGTGTCCCTCCTTACCCCAATTTTTATGTTGAAGAACTATCTTCAGTGTGACTCTACTTAAGACACACGGCCTACAGAGAGGTAATAATGGTCAAATGAAGTGATAAGGGCAGGCTCTTAATCCAGTGAGACAGGTATCCTGACAAGAGGAAGAGATGGGAAACAACTCTCTCTTCTTCTGTGCACAGACCATGTGAGCATGTAGCAAGAAAGGAGTCATCTGCAAACCACCAAAAGAGCTCTCAGCAGAAAGTAAAACTGCTAGTACCTTTATCTGGAACTTCTAAAACCAGAACTGTGAGAATACAGTATAAAATTGTTATTTAAACCGCACAGCTGGGTATGAGAAAGCAGGCCCGCTGACAAGCAGTGGCCTGCACCAGACCTGTGGTGCCTAGTGACACAAAGGCATGATCATCCACTAACTCCAAGCCATCTCTACATTCTGGTTCCTCTTGGTACAGGGCAGCAGAGGGGCAGACTAACTAACAAACCAGATCCTAGATAAGGAATATGCCTAGGGAGAGAAGTTAACTCTGGAAAGGCAGCAGACCCAAGGAAAAAGTACAGACCTGGCCAGCAATGTCAGGAACTCAAATACTACCCTCCCAAAGTGACTGGTTAAGAGAGAATTACAGGCAACCACTGCAGAGAGGCCCTCCTGAGAATGAGTTTAGTCTGAGGACACAGGCCCTGCCTTTTATAGAAAACAGCCAGACTCAATGAATGTTGACATTTAATCCAACAGTCTTTCCCACCCATCAACAGGAGCAAGGACACACTTTGGATGGACACAGTCTGGGGAGAATAAATAGCCCTCTGGTATAGGCAAGGCACCTCAAAAACCCAAGAACAGGAATTCAGAAGAAACGAATAAATTCTTAAATATATATGAATTACCAAAACAAAACCCAAAAGACTTAGACAAACTTAAATAATTCGATAAAAGATAATGAAATTGAAGCAGCTGAAGGAAAACAAGACAAAAAAAAAAAAAAAAAAAAAAAAACTACCAAGGAAAGTGCAGGTCCAGAGGGATTCACTGCTGAATTCTATGAAAACTTCAGGGAAGATCTAACACCAATACTCTTAAAGCTCCTTAATGAAACTAAAAGGAAAGAAGCACTGCCAAAGTCACCCCTGGAAGCTATCATTCCTATCCAAAACCATACAAGATCCAACTAAAAAACAGAACTATGACCAATTTCTTTAATGAACACAGAAAAAGTACAAAAAAAACGCAACAAGATACTTGCAAACAGAATGCAACAAATCATCAAAAAGATCACACATTATGACCAAGTAGACTTCATCCCAGGAATGCAAGGATGGTTCAACATAAGCAAATCGACAAATATATCACATAAACATAAGGACAAAAATCAAATGATCATCTCAACAGGCAGAAAAGGCCCTTAAAAAGTCCAACATCCTTTCATGATAAACTCAATGAAGAAAGAATGAAAGGACCTTATGTCAACTTGAGAAAAGCCATTTATGATAAACATACTGCCAACAACCATATTAAATGAGGAAAAACTGAAAGCTTTCCCTCTAAAATCAGTAACAAGACAAGGATGTTCACTGCCACCCCTCCTGTTCAACATAGTACTCAAAACATTAGCATGAGCTATTAGTCAAGAAAAATAAAAGAGGTATGTATCAAAAAGAAAGAAATCAAGTTATTATTTGCAGATGACGATCCTCTACACAGAAAATTCCCAAAACCCACGAAAAAACTGTCAAAATTGATAACAAAATTCAGTAATGTAGCAGGATACAAAACCAACAGTGTTTCTGTGCAATAGTAATGAACCCACTGAGACATAAATAGGGGGGAAATAGCTTTCACAATAGCACCAAGAAAAACTACGTATTTAGGAATTAATCTAACTAGGAAAGTGAAAGCCTTCTATGATGCAAACTACAGTACCCTAAAAAAGGAAATTGAAGAAAAATACACCCTGTTCCTGGATAGGCAGGACCAATATAGTAAAAATAAACATACTTCCAAAATTGATAGACAGATTTAATGCAATCCCAAACAAAATGGCCACAGTATTCTTCATAGAACTAGAGAAACCTATCCTAAAATCTATATGGAACCAGAAAAGATCCAGAATAGCAAAAGCAATCCTGAGTAACAAAAGCAAAATGGGAGACATCACAATACCTGACTTAAAGTTATACTACAAAGCTACCCTGATAAAAACAGCATACAATTGGCATAAAAAGAGACATGAGAATCAACGGAACAGGACAAAGCATATTCAATTTTTTGATCTTTGACAAATGGACCAAAAACATCAAATGGGGGAAAGTTAGCTTGTTTCACAAATGGTGCTGGGAAAACTGGCTATCCACATGCA